GAAAGTCCAAACTTACTGGCAGTTGAGGTAGTAAGACAAAAGGTTTTCACCTGTCTTTCAAGAACACTTCAATTTCAGATCATTTCTTGAATTTCGTTGAGCCATCTTGCTCTCCATCTGAAATATCAGGTCAGGCCACTGTGATTTTTTGCTGCTATTCTTCATTTCTGTGGCTTTTGCTGTTGGAAATACATTACTTGGTATTATAAAAGTTTCAGGAGGAAGCACTTCAAGTGTCCCGATCCAATGTCGGGGGGAGGTTTCGATACAATCCCAAGAACGAGATTAAGATGCTGGAATCGGTCAGATGTCATACAACATGAGAACGGAGGAGGGGAGAAGAGAACGGAGGGAGGAGGGAGGGCAAGGGAGGAGCGGGAAAGAATAGGAGGGAAGGGGGAGTTTATCACCACCACTTCGAGTCCGATGATCTCCCGCAGGGTCTTCGGTGGCCTCAGGCTTCGTCAGGGACCGAAGGGGGGGTGGGGGGCCTTGAGGGTGCAGGAACGGAAGGAGTGGTCTCGCGCGCCGCCCCCGCCGAGGGGCACGTGTGCTCCTTATATAGGGGCTGTCACGCATGCGCGGATCACAAATGCGTACGTGCTGTTCGCCACGGACGTGCTGCCCGCGCCTCTGCTCTTTTCGCGCCTTTAGTCCCTGCGCAGGCGCACGAGGTTGTTTTTCTCCAAACTGTGGAGAAGAGGATTTTCTCGAAGCGCGACGCTGGATGGCGCTGCAGCGGCAATGCCGAGACAAAACCGCATTTGGTACCGATTCTCTACATCAAGTAATTGCAAACTTCTGATTTTCAGACTGTTTGCTTTTTGAGTCTCCCTGCCATCTACCAAACTGCTGGGAAATTTTTTTACCACCCCGCCCGTAACATTTGTCATCCTGTATTTCTTAAATCTAATGCCTACATTAGTCCTCATTTCCCCCCCCCACCCTGCCTGCTGCTGCCCCTGCCCCATACCACTCTTCTTTACAGTCCCCACTACAGTTGAATAGTGGGCAAACAACAATGAAGGGACAATGAGTTAAAATCATACATTTTATTGCCAAGTAGCATTTAGGCTGACATACTAAAGGGTTTTTCAGATAACCAAAATGTACATTTTTATTCAGATAATCATCTCTCCTGTATTTCTGAATCCCAGGAAGGGAGCAGATAGTCCTTACTCTCCATTTCCTGGGGAGTCCCTCTTTACTTGCTTCATTTTCTTTACAGCATTCATTTAAAATCACTTCAAAAAGCAGGAAATCATACCTCATATTTCAAAATTTAAGGAAAAGGACTCCTCAAACTTCCATTTAAATCTTTATTCTCTGTGATATCTCAGTCTTCCGAATTTGGAATACCAAGGCAAAGCTTGCAAACAATTCCAAAGCACCGAACTTCCGACTTAGATTTATTTCAGGTTTATAAAGAAAGTAATTTTATACCAGTAACTTGAAAAAATCAAGTCAAATATAAAACTTACAACAAATAACTTAAGTGTTGTAGAACAATTTAAATTTGCTCATTTCATTATGCAGCAGATATTGTACAAAACTGCCACAGAAACAGTGGTATTGAAGTCTACTTACACATCTTACACAATTTTAGGTTAAATCCAAGCACTGAATATTCAGAGCACTTTAAACATGTTAAACAATATAGATAGGCAATAACACAACCCAAATGCAAAAGTATCTGCCTATTTTATACACAATTTTAAAAGCACTTCATGAAGTTGCATGAATTCCAACTGATGTTACATAATTTATTTCAAAAGATGCTTATTGCAGAGTACTTTTTTCAAATAAATTTACAAGAAACAATATTATTCTTAGGGCTGTGGAAAATGACTAGCATATCGAAGCTTAAGTCTTGGTTCCAGTGATGTCAATAGGATTTTTGCCACTGACTTCACTGATGCAAAGATTTCTTTTATCCACTCATTCTTCTATTAGATAAAAGGTGTAAAGGCCAGCTCAGATTTACAAAATAGCTACTTGAAAAATACTTCTATGAGGCACACGTGCAATATGAAGATGAGTTATCACAGATATCAAAACTACAGCCTTTAATACTATTCCATATGAAAATCACAGATTGCAGCAAAAGCAAACCAGAACAGGGAGGAGAGCACCACTGCTAAACGTTGCTGAGCTCCTTCTTAAGGCCATGTAATTGTGTTCTGGGAAGAAAGACATCAATACTTTCTTTTTGGTATCACTTTCCCAGGTAAATGTATGGTATCATGTTTTTAAACAAGTTATTAAAATGCATTTCAAAATAAATATTTCTGTACATGTGACTTGCTTCATAACTACAGATACACTCCAACAGCCATGCTTTAGAGATATGTAACATACAGATCTATTAAATGTTTTAACATTCATGTAGTGAAGAGGTTTAGTGATGAGAATTATGACTTCTCAGTATGAAAAGATTCAGTAATAATTATTAGTCTCATCTTGAGAAGCTGAAGATTACTTGGGTTTTCTTATTAAAAGCACTAGCAGAATACTTAACTGCTGAAGTGCATCTCACCAAAGTTCATATTTTTAAATGTTAAAGCCATAATCTGATACAAATTCCAAAGAGCAGAGCTAAATATAATGCTATTAAAACAATTTAAGTTTTAAACTTCAAATTAGAGGTGCAAATGTGAAGTTTTAGCTATATTCATGTGAAACTGTGTGAAAAGTTAATAGGCTTCAGCTTTATTCTGTTTATTATCAACTAAATCACTTTGGTTTCCTGTAATGTTAGGTCTACCTATAGTATACCAACTGCATGTGCTCCAGTGTATGTGCATCTAACTTTGTACTCTCAGCTCGCTGAACATGTGTGCCAGCTCCTGTCCAGAACCTACTTTTGCACTATAACTACATACGTTCTCCCTAACAGGTGTTACTAGCTTGAAAACAGTGCTATATTAATGTAGTTCTGAGTTTCAAAACCAGAATTAGCCTTTGTCTGGCCACATTGAGCTGGCACTTGTCTGCAAGCACTGGAATAGATACACTCCTCACAATGAAGGGATTGAAGAAATACTTTCCTGGAAAGATGCCAAGCAACTTACTTCTTCACCTGAACTTAGCAAAGCAGTACACCTTGTAGAATCAAACATTAATTTGCTTAGGAAATTAAGGGCAATATAAGCTATGTTAATTTATTTTTCATTTCTGTTCACAAAATATTACACAAAAAAGGTAAAACCAATTTAAACCACTACATGCAAATTAAAAGCCTGAACACTCTTGAGGGTTGAGAATCCTTCTGGTAACTGTTTTACCTGAAGCATATGCATTTCAAATGTTTAGAAACATGTAAGACTGCATTTTTTTTTTTTAATGTGAAATAAGAAGCTCCTACAAAAATAGGCAACAGCATGCATTTTAATTTTCAAAACATTTTGGGGGACAGATATGGTCTATGAGTTTGCTGCTCATTCTTTCACAAGCTATTCAAGATGAAATGTAGCCACAGAATGCTTCACAGTTAAGGCTCAGGGTCGTGGGATAACTATAAGTGAATCTAAGCATGGATAACTGCCTTCCATTTTCTTGGCAACAAATCTCATGCTACACCGTTGTGAGCTGGCTGAAAAATAAATCAACAACACATGACAAGCCTTCTGCTAGATTTGTTTCTTCACTATGCTAAACCCCTTTTAGCAGTAGCCTCTGATGCTGTACTCACTTCTAGTGCTACATGTAGCCAGCCACAAGGAACAAGAAACAGAGTGCATTGATGTCAGACTTATTAAAGTTACTAATTCAAAAAATCTTCTCCTCAAGTGAACAGATATGACTCACAATTCAGAGCCATGCCAACCTCGTCTGGTCAGACCTACAATCTCCTCTCCCAGAGAGCTACTCACCTACCTTAACTCATAATCTGGAAACAATTCACCATCTATGAGAGCACTTTGGTGTCTTTCACTGTTTAAATCATCATCCCATTTTGTTTATCGCATTTCCCATAAAACAAAGATCTTCCATTGCCAAACAGTTTAGACAGATGGTCTTATAAATTTTACAAATATTGTTCCAAATTCATAACATACTTAAACCAAACTTCACACATTCACCTTAAGCTTGCACAGCACAGAAAAAGATTATAAACCCCCAATAAAACCATGCAACCCCCCCACAGAAGACCATCAAGCTAACATATCTAAATATAAATTAAACCAAATAGAACACCAAAATAATATATAAAGTCTGATTTTGTTCAAGATCTTGAATAACGAAGTATTAATTTTCTTGTGTTGGTGGGGGTGGGGTTTTCAGGGTTTGGGGTTTTTTTTGCTTTGTTTTGGGGTTGGTTTTTTTTTTTTTTGTGGTTTTGGTTTGTTTTTTGTTTGGTTCCCCCCCACCCCCATCAAAATCTGAGATAAAGCAGATTAAGTTTTAATTCCCCACCTTCCCCAAATCCTGGTTCTTCAGATACCAAAGGAAGCCTGTGCTCTTAATGGGCACTTAGTGTATATATTCATACTTAAGACTAAATTTTGTATTTCCTTCCATGTAGAAGTGTAACTCAAATTCCCAAATTTACCACATTAACAAAAAAGTGAATTAATAAAATATGAAAACACTTTAAGAATGTTCCCATCAGTCGTTCTGACACAGATTATTTCTGGTCCATTTTAAGTTGTGTGAGATATATCAAAATAAATCTTTGAGATTTATCGTTGTTCTTACTACCCCCAAAATATATTTGGTTACCCGTTCTCTCACTTCAAAGGCATCAATGGAAATCTACATCATTCTGACAGCACATTAGATAAAAAATTGCACTAAACCCAGGTTTAAAAAGCTATACTACTGTTAGGTATTATGCAGTTACATAAACTGTAAAAATGCATAAATTCTTAAAGTATCACAATCAATCTAACTTTAGATGTTAAATCATGAATATGCTGAAAAACTGATCATTTGACAGATAACCAAAAAGCGCCTCACACAATAACTTAGTATCTTCACCTCTAAGCTTCTATATCATAATTCTCTATCAATCACTTCAGTCCTGGACATCAAAGTAGTCAATTACTGGCTCTTCTTTTAATGGTTTGGATAAACCACTGTTTCCAGTACTCCTGAAATTATAAGAATAGTAGATGTTACCCACATGAAAAACAAGATACAAAGCAAACTGAAATCACAAACTCTCCTTATGTCTCAGTGTGCACACGCACACTGCATTGGTAAATGGCATGCATTTCTAAATTATGTTTTAATAGAAGTACCTTAATGCTCCAGAAAGCCTTTGTTAACAGATTTTTGGAAGAAAACATATACTTTATTGAATTAATGTACATCAATGTGTGGCTGAATTGATACAATTTTGGGGGGGGGGGTTACCAGAAAATACCATTTACTGGTAATATTTATTACAAAAAAAATACTGTACTAACGTACAACTCTGCTAGATGTTGACTAAATGTTCAACATGCCTTTTTAAAAGAAAGAGCAAAAGAAATACTGTTGAAGTGAGCTGATGATCAAATCTGCTCGCTTTTAAAAGCAAGAGTAACAAAAAATACATGGTAATACCAAATCCAAACACTGTAAAGATTTTTTCCATAAGATGGTATGAGATCTTCCGGAAGATTTTGTAGAATTAAGCACTTCTAAAGAAATTTCACTTCTAGTAATTAAAAATAAATGGCTAAAGCCCTTTTTTTAATTTAATTTTGCCACATAATCCCCTTTCATTAGGGTCACTGAAGGCAGGAATCCCACAGAAGTAAGTAGAAATAAAGACTAATAAACTTTTTTAAATTCACATTGAGTTACATCGTAAGCAGTCATTTTAGACGTGTTTCGTGTAGTTCTGAAACAATTTAAATTTTCTCAGAACAGCCTACTTTGTATTTCAGCAGCACCTTAAACACCCAATAGCTACTGCAATAGTTACTGTAAAATTAAGCTGTCCCTTTCTGCAAATGGTACTTCACAGAACATGATTTCAAATGCTAATTTGGAAATAACTTGGGGAAAAAAGTTCTGAAAGGTAAACCTGAACAAAGAAAATAAGCCATCTATTAAAAAAATTCATAACTATGAGATGACTACAGGTACTTGAAGCTGGCAGGTCATACAAAGTAAAGACTGTTCTATTAGACTATTCACCAAGAAGCCTTATATATCCTATCTTCAGTAGTTTTCACTATCTAAGAAAAATGGTAGTTCACGTTTAGTAAACTGCGTAGTCGTATCTACACAAGAAAAATACATTTACTACCTGTCTAAATAAATCATTTTATGCCAGTGAGACATTACCCTTTTACATAGAACACTTAAATGTAGAAAATATCCCCAAAACTCCAAAACAGCCACCTCTTCCCAACTATCTAATCCTTATTAAAAATAATAAAAAAACCCCACTCCACAATATTTGTTATATTACTACTCCTATACCACATAGTCAATCCTACATTTTCTTAGCACTTCATTTCATGTTTACTTCTGGGGAAATTAAATCTTAGTGCAGGCTGCAAGTTCCAAAGCTGTGTGCGGGCTGGGAAAACAAAGAAACAAGGAGAATAAAGTCGAAGCTCAGGAACACTCTCCTCAGGTAACTCAGCACAAAATTGAAGAATACGCTTTTAAAAACAAATTCCTTACTTATCTGTTTGTTTGTAATGAGGAATAGGAGGTGGAGGCCTGCTCTGCATTTCTTTATCGAGCACAGAAGTTAAGGTATTGCTTGGACAAATAGATTTCCCTCTAGAGAAATAAAAGAAAAGTTATTCAATTCAATAGGAAATTATATTAATTAAGAAGTTAGGGCAAAAAAAGTTACATTTGTAAGTAGCAGTACTGGTGTCAGAGTTCATACTTGTATACTTAAATCATCTATTCAAATATTTAATTTTCCAACCATGGACACCAAGTGTGCAAAGTCCATTTTCATTACCAAGAACAAGATATTCAGTATTCTAAATGTCTTGATTGCTGTCTATAAAAGATGCAGAAGCGGCTTACTGGATTTGAGTGTTGGTGCCCAGGCTCCTTCCTTTCTCCATGTGAAGTGCACAACTCCTTTTTACTATGAAGTGCACAAAATGATCAACTGTTAAAATACCAAAAATGCAATACTTGCATTCTAGGGCAACATATATCTGTTCTTTCACAGAACAGATACAAGATCAGAAGCAACAACTTAATAGCTTAACTCGGCATCATGGGAACACAGTTCACTGCACCTTCACAACATGTTATCTAATGTTTTGGAAACACGTTCTTAAACTCTGGCAGTAATTCATGTTAAACTTGTTTATCGCTCTGCACTGAAAGCAGCCCTGCTAAGCAGCACTCTCCCAGGAACAATGCAGCAACACTGCCTCCTCCTTGTCAGCTAGCCCAGGTGAACAAGATCAGAAAAATAACATTATGCATTTGCAGGGCAGGGGAAATCAGCTCCTCCTGCCCTCCACACTAGTTACAATCTATTATGTGATCATGACCACACAATGAAGCATCCCACTTGTGCTTGTCCCATCTGCAATGCAAGGGCCACCCTGTGGCTGGGGTGCAGGACAGTATTTTCTCCGATATAGGAGGACAAGTGTACTTTAGCATGTATATTTATATGCTTTAGGCATACATTGTCTGTGAATCACACTCAACTTCAGTATGGCAATCCATGTTCAAAGACTGCATTGGCTGGAGAAAGAGGAAGGATATAAAAAAAACCCCACACCCAGAAAAAAAAACTAGAAAGATTGTTCCAAAAAGGCACCTAATTAAAAAAAAAAATCCCAATAATTACCAAACACACTATATCTCTAATAGGCTGTGGAGATGTCTTAAAATTTCCTATCAATTCATGAGCCACTTTCATGAGTGAGCTTGCTTTATTTCAGCTTCCAGTCACTGTTATGATTTAACTGCAAGACTGAAAAACCTTCCACTATCAGCATCTTTTCCATTCACAGTTTCTTTTTGATCTTTTCTGGGGCAAATAAGCTGAATAAATTAAAATTCTTAAACCTTGTCAAGGTCAATTTCTTACCCTTCTTGCACTTTCCTCTAAACCCATGCTACTGACATTTTAAGACCAAACTACTTCTGGTACACTAAACTGCATTGCTTTCCTGTTTCTATCTGAATGGTTTATATTGGATATTAGGAAAAACTTATTCACTGAAAGAGTTGTCAAGCATTGGAACAGGCTGCCCAGGGAAGTGGTTGAGTCTCCATCCCTGGAGGTATTTAAAAGACATGTAGACGTGGTGCTTAGGGACACGGTTTAGTGGTGGACTTGGCAGTGCTAGATTAACAGTCGGACTCCATGATCTTAACGGTCTTTTCCAACCTAAATGATTCTATAATTCTATGTCAATCACTAAATAATGTTTCCTCCTTGTTTATTTTATTCATGAATTTTTAAATAAACTCCTCCCAGAGCAGAGTCCTCTAGACCATGAGATTCTCTGTTTACTAATCACATTAAATACCTACTTTCAAGTTCATCTTGTTCCTTTCAAAATTACATTTCGAATAGCAAAAAATGCTGCAAAACAATGGCTCGTGTATTCTTATAATATCAGAAATGTGTATGTGTTAAGAGTTCCATGCATTGTCACATACTTGGTAATTCATATTTTTTCCCCACCTCCCTCAGAGCTCTAAGCAGTTGAAATCTCACATCAGTACACAGATGAACATTAGTTCTATTTCAGAGCTTAAAAAAAATTAAGTATTCATCTTATTTCCATCATATTTGTCTTGTTTCCATCATTTCTGAAAATATAATGGCCAATTCCTGTGATATTGTGGCAACACAGATGAAAAACTCCACAACATTCTCAAGATAAGTCAGAAGTCCACTAAAATATGAAGTTATGATCCCTGACCCCATTTCAGTATTGTTTTAAACTGAGTACTGACAGTCTGTTCAAATGAATTGGAAAATCTTGCAAACATAGGTCACCAATTCAAAAACTGTCCCCATCTCCCCAACACTGAAAGTGTTCATTATTTGAAAAATAGTTACTTGCCAGTGACCATAATTTTTTCAAGATTATATTACATTTACATGTACACTCTACAAGCAAGTATATTAGTGTCCTATCAGTTGACAACAGCTGATTTCCTCCTCTTGTATAAAATGGGTAAAAACTCCTTTAACTCCAAGCCTGGCATATAAAGCCAAATGCCCCCACTATCATTTCAGTTACCTCTTAACTGTAGAGCTCTATCTGAAAAGACTAAAAGAGGACAAAGGTACATGGGAGAATATCTTGTTGTCTTCTTTCATTTTTATAAACTGTGGCGTGCAAAAACATAGAAACCCCATTGACTGGTGGTAAATAGGCAAAAAAAAGAAAGGCTAGGAAGGCCTTCACCAAGTAAGGTGTTGGTCTTTAAAACATCAGGCTAAATCTCACTTGTGTAGTAAAAAAAGTAAATGAATGACAGTTCTGGAATGCAGGAAAACAGAACACTTGGAAGAATACATGTGCACTTATTTCTCCAATTAGCTAAAAAAAAAATTCTTACTAGAAAAGAGAATGTTCCCGAATTCCAAGAAAGTAAATATAGTGGCTCTGCTCTGAAGTGAAATGTTCCCAGGATGTAGAGGGTTAATATATCAAACCTTTAAAAATGAGGGATCAAAGCCTTGTGGACAGTTAGAGGAGATCCTGGAACCAAATTTGCTTTGGTCACATCAAGGCCTAGCCCTGGTTTTGCTTTGACAAGATTTAGTGTCCCTCAAAAAAAAAAAGCACAAGAGATATACAGTAGACTGTCCAGCCATGAAACCAGAGGCTTTAGAGACAAAAATCTATCAACTCACACTCAAGCAAAATGTACACCACTTCCTGTATACCTTGGTGACACACAGGACAATACTAGACTGACTCCAATCTCCCCAAAATTCTGTGAATATTTCTATTAATTGGTTTAAAAAAAGAAAAAAAAAGAAATTAAACAGCCAATCATATTCATCTCATCTGGAAGAAAACCAAACAACTGAATTCCACTAAATAGGTGTGCAATGGAAAAAAAGCAGACCCTCCCTTCCTGCTAATGTAAATCATGGTTATCTATGATCAGTTGTAATAGAACTGTGGAGATGAAACCAAAATGGCTCTGCAAGTACTTTGGACATTTTGATATGAAAGTTACCATTCTTCATTCTATTAACTTATTCTCAAAGTAAGGAAAAAAGATAACTGCCTGCCCCAAGCAACAAAGATGAGATGACAAATTTTTAGCAGCACTCCAGGGAAAAGCAAGGAGAATATAAATAACTATCTGCTGACTATAAGGCACTGGTAGTGCTGACAGGATGGCCTGTTGTATAAAACCCAACTGTGGAAATCGTGACTCAAACTTATCTTCTCCTTAAAGACTGGAAGTTCAATTTTCATAACTCCAGGATGGATCAGCATTGATGTGAACTACTACAAAATTCTTTGCCCACTGATCTGTCCAGAACTGACTCCATGTAGCCTTGCAATAACGATCCATCAGCTTTCAGACAGAGCAGGTTTTTGTGAGAAGTGCCTCCAAAAGCTGATACAGTTTGGGTGGAATAATGAAGCAAGTGGCTCTCAAACAATCTCCTGGTTGTCTAGACTTCACATATCCTATGTCATAAGCTGTCAAGAGGCAACACATACTATTTTCAGGGCAAACGATGTCAAGATTGAAGGAAAAATAACAAGAAAGATGTAGCTCTTTTCTGGAGCAGGACTGCTGTTAAAACCACCTTGGCTGGTGACCTGTAGCATTATTTGTGCTTAAATTGCTCAAAAAGCCTTAGAGGTTAGAGGTGTTGAAAAAGGACATTCATTGGAAAAGGCCTTTGTGACTGTAAACGGGGTGGGGAGAAAGTTAGCTTTTTCCTCATGGCAGAGGAGAAAATTTATAGACAGTGAAAGGTAGAATAGAAGTCCTTAAAGCGATAGAGTACCTTCAGGAACTCATCCAAACTTCTGTCAAATTGGCAGTGAAGTTATTCCAGATACCAGAAAGGCTGCAGAGACAGTTAACTTATTAAGTAAAATGAACTTGTACCTGGAGATCAAGTACTAAATGTGTCCAGAAAAACTTAAAGAAGCCAGAGAATAACTCTGTTTCCTGCTTAAACACTGGTCACTACATAACAAGCAGCAGACGCCCCTTAACAGGCTCTGGCATCCAGAGTTATTCGTTGGAGGAGGAAATTCATATGAGTAAAAGACAAAGAAACCACTGACAGGTACAGTGAAGCGCATGTGTCAACTTGGAGAGGAAAGCCTTCCCCTTTTCACCATACCAGTCTAGATGTTACCTTTGAACCTGGTTCAGAAGGTATTCACTGAAATAAGAAACATTGTTATGCAGCTGAAGAATATTCTTAGTAGAGCACTCTAACAGAGTGGCAGAGGTGAAATAGCAGCATGTGCATTCTGCACAGTACGCTGTTCCCTGAACAACACAAGGGAAGGAGCAAGTGTGTAATCTCTCCTAAAACCCCAGAGGAAGGCCTCCCATTGTCAAGTTGCAGGATACGTCTTTGTTTCTAAAGCACAGCCATCTGTCCTGCTCCTTTCTCTGACACTTTATCCTCTTCACTAATTTCTCATCCCGCCCCATCTATTTCTTTTTCTTAAATAAGCTTTTTCAAATATGATCTCTCTTCTCCCCTTCCTTTACTAGAAACAAAAAGAGTATCTTAAATCGTTTCATGGAAACAGAAAGGGGTATCAAAGTGGTGTTCCATCTCTCTATCAATATCGTAGCTAAGCTACTAACCCATGAACAGGCTCAGGAGCAGCTCATGGCACTCTAGTAGAATGGATGGTGTCGGGTTTTTCCTTTTTTTTATAACTACAGCCAGTATCTACAGTTAAAAACAACTGGTTGTCAAAGAACCACAATTTGACAGTGCTAAACTAAATATGCTGCTCAGTGAGCAGCAGAATCAAGGAAGCCCTGATACCTGATTTGGGAAGCCTTCCCATACTATGTCTCCAGTGCAATCACCTTGCTTTTCCCTCAGCTATATTCCCTGCATTTCCTTCTCTAATATGAACTGCCTTCTGTGGGTCTTCTGCAAATATTTCCAGTTTTGCTTAGAAATCTCGTCAGTTTGCAGTAATTCCAGCTCACTCTTTGTCCATTGAAGAGGGAGTATACTCTGTGGCAGGTTCAGATAGACGGAGAACAAGTAAGTTCCAATACCAGATTTTTTCAAAGAAGGTGCAAATTTAGGTATGACTTCTCAACCCAGCAATTAATTTTCACAAAATTTTATGACATTTATTATCTTTGATACCTCTATCAAATTTAGCTGATGCCAAAAGACAAAAAGGTACTGCTAAGATGTATGGAAAACAGCCTCGCAAAATCTTTTCTTAGCTTTTTAATTTCTAATTGCGTTTTCTTCTCTGAAGATTTACTTGACTAGTGGAAATAGAAGCCTATGAAATTATCAATTTAAAAACTGCTTTAAAAAAAATTTCTACTGGAAGTTACTGCATGTTGCAAATTACATTGTAAATAAATTCATTCAAGTAAGTGATAAAAACATCTAATTATTTAAACTATAGTTAATAGATTTGAAAACAATAATGAATTACATACTTCACTGCAGTGATAACAACATTACGCTTTGGTTCGTTGTCATAGCTCACACTTTCAATGCCATAAACCTGAGCTAATTCATGGATGATTCTGCGGTGATCTCTGTTCATTGGTGGGTAACAATGGCTCTTCTTTGTATGCTTGCCCTAAATTCAAGAGAAAAGGTTTAAAAAAAAAAAAAAAAGAAAATAGAAAGCTAAAAGTTTTCCTTGGGGGGGGACAGGGGGAAGAAAAAAGGAAAAAAAGTGCTTCTACCTCTAAGAATTTGCCACTATGACAAAATTAGTACCATAAATTGGTAATATCTCAATATTGACAGAAAACTCATCTAAAAATATCCATTTCCCAAAAATTAAATTATGCATTCTCTATTGTTTCCACCACCTCAAAGTATGCACACACACATATACACGTATCTTTTAAATTTGAAAATCCTGAAGGTATCCATTCTACTTACATCCCAAAGAAGCAGTATAAAATGATTTTTTCTGAATTTTTATTTTTCAGAAAGATCTGCCAATTTTGAATCAGATCTAATTTTATTTTTCAGACTGGCTTTGCAATGCACATATATTGCAGACAGCTACGAAGGTGTCAGATTTATTTACCACTTCCTTCTACCAAAGAAGCTATTTATCTGCAAAATCTGCCATGTAATGGCATCAAAAGACTTTTTATTTAATAAAATTGTAGTTTTAATTTCAGTTAACAAAGACTGATAATGCTTGATTCAACACCGATTGCTAGATAAACAGTAAAAAAAACAAACAAAAAAGCAGGGCCCTATGAGCCCTGTCCTAATGGGTTGGGTGACTTTGTAACAGCAAATGCAGATGAGGATGAGACACTCAGTGCTTCAGTCTGCTTCAGGGACTCAAGACACTTGTTCAGCTTTTGCCTTGGTTGTCACCAACAAAGTCTTTGGGTCTACAGACAGGGTTCAAGGGGAAGACAAACTACCAGTAGCAGAAAAAGTTTGAGTCAGGGCTTTCTAGAGAAATCCCAACCCATACAAGTTCCTGGGACTGCAGGCAGTGCATTTAAGGGCACTGAGAGGCCAGGACGATGTCCTCTATCATCTCTAAAAGATTGTAGAGAATGGGGTGGGAACCCAATGGCTAGAGAAAGGTAATTGTTGCAACTATGTTAAAAAAAAAAACAAAAACAAAAACCACCACAACAGAAAAACAACCCAAGAACTACAGGTTGATCAGCTACACTTCAAAGCCTGGGGGAAAATCATAGAGCAAGTCCTTTTAGAAGCCGTTTTTAGGTACATGAAGGAGAAGGTCCCTGGGAGTAGTCAACGTGGATGTACAAAAGGACAGTCACCTAAATTAAAGACCACCACATGTAATAGAGTAAGATACACATCAGAGGTTCGTTGTAGCTACCCTGTAAATAGAGGGTTAATATCTGTCTCCTCTTAGATTGCAAAATAGCTAAATTATGAATAGGAACTGGACCAGAAACTGTGGTCAATGATTTCCTTTCTTCAGGGAAATCACATGCTGTCAGGATATAATCTTTACTTAACAATGAACAATAATAAACCTCCCACCTATTACAACACTTCCAGCATACAGACAAGCATTTGAATGAAGAAAACTCTACAGATTCTGTACCTATTTATGATGACTAGTAACGTTTGCTTTAAAAATGTGGCAACAGTTCCACACTTAGAAAAACATCAGAATTTCTGCCCATATGCAGACAGAGCTGGATGATATAAAAATGTTTCCTGTCTTGTCTGCTTACATATATCAACAATGACAACTCTGCTGTATTAGATGGATACATACTGATTAGTCTAGGGGAACAGATGTTCATGAGGCAAGCAAAGTCATATGAAGTCGTCTACAGCTGAACCATACTGATGCTTTTTAAGTATCAAAATCCTTTTTATTACTCATTTATTCAGTTAAGCTGAAATATCTCCAAAGGTACCTCCAAAGGCACCTCCAAAGGCATGGTGCAAAAAAAAAAAGTCAAAGTGAAATGTGTAAGCATAAGTAACACGAAAGACATAGTAACTATGAAAGACATAGTACTGATATAGGCAGAGCTACCTGAATGCTTGATAGACTGGCATGCAAAATACTTTTAATACAAATATACAGTAAAGCTCTACATCTAGAAACAAAGAAAATAAGCCACATCTTTAGTCAGAAAGGATTTAGGAGTCATGATAAACAAACAACTGAACACAGACTCAAGCATAAGAACGACTTAGCAATCATGGCAAAAGAACAACTAAAAACAGTCTCCTTGCATAATGCCATGTCAAACATATTAATCCAATCTTTGGCTATGTAAAAAGGGGGAGTTGACTTGGTCAGGTTGGACATAGGCCTGAATGAGCAACACTGATTAACACTTACCAGGTAGAGAGACATGCCCAAGACAACATAAATACCTGTGGGCTGCAAGATGAAACATGACTCTTATAAGGGAGAAAATAAAGCCTCTTAGACTTCCAGAAATAAAAGAAGTATGCAAGAAGAAGAATTGAGTAAAAGAGAACAGGTCAACTTTACAGTGCAAGGGACATGTTCTCTTTCATACCATACACCCCACCACTTTGAAGGAAAAGAAAGTCAGAGCATGGCTTCCACACATGCTGTCTTCAAGATGGGCAAGGAGGGGACACAGAACTACAGGCCAGTCAGCCTCACCTCGATCCCTGGGAAGGTGATGGAGCAGCTCATCCTGGAACCCATTTCCAGGCACATGAAGGACAAGAAACTCCTCAGGAGTGGTCAGCATGGCTTCACCAAGGGGAAGTCATGCTTGACCGACTTGATAAACTTCTACAATGAGCTGACATGCCTGGTAGATGAGGGGAGAGCAGTGGCTAGAGTCTGCCAGGCCTTCAGTAAGGTCTCTGACACTGTCTCCCATAAGAGCCTCACAGCCCCTCAAGCTGTTTCTGTAGGGCTGGATGAACAGACAGTGAGGTGGATTGAAAACTGGCTGAACGGCCAGGCCCTGAGGGCGGTGATGAATGATGCAAAGTCTAGTTGGAGGCCAGTAACTAGCAGCATACCCTGGGGGGAGAGGAGAGGGACTGCGTACTCAGTCCAGTCCTGTTTAACATCTTCATGATGTTCATTTCGTGTTCTTCATTAGTGATCTGCATGATGGGGCAAAGCATACCCTCAGCGAGTTTGCCAATGACACAAAGTTGGGAGGAGTGGCTGATAGGCCAGAGGGGCATGCTGCCATCCCACGTGAGCTTGACAGGCTGGAGAAATGGGCTGGCAGGAACCTCGGGAAGTTCAACAAGAAGTGCAAAGTCCCGCACCTGGTGAGGAGCAACAACACACAGCAGTATATGCTGGGGCCCACCCAGCTGGAGAGCAGCTTGGCAGAAAAGGACCTGGGGGTCCTGGTGGACACCAAGTTGGACATGAGGCAGCGATGTACCCAGGCAGCAAAGGCGGCTACTGGTATCCTGGGCTGCATTAGGCAAAGTATTGCCAGCGGGCTGAGGGAGGTGCTCCTTCCCCTCTACCCAGCACTGGCGAGGCCACCCCTGGAGTACTGTGTATTGGGGAGCCCAGAATGGACAAGAGAGACATGGACATACTGGAGAGAGTCCAGTGAAGGGCCACAAAGATGATTAAGGGACTGAAGCATCTCTCCATTGAGGAAAGGCTAAGAGGGCTGGGACTGTTCAGCCTGGAGAAGAGAAGGCTCAGGGGTGATATTATCCATGTCTATAAATACCTGAAGGGAGGGTGTAAAGAAGACGGAGCCAGCCTCTTTTCCATGGTGCGCAGTGACAGGACAAGAGGCAACAGGCACAACCTGAAACACAGGAGGCTCCTCTGAACATCAGGAAACACTTCTTTTACTGTGAGGGTGGCTGACCGCTGGCACAGGTTGCCCAGGGAGGTTGTGGCCTCTCCATCCTTGGAGATACTCAAAAGCTGTCTAGACATGGTCCTGGGCAACTGGATCTAAATGGCCCTGTTTGAGTAGGGGGGGTTGTACAAGATGACCTCCAGAAGACCCTTCCAACCTCAAACATTCCATGATTCTGTGAAACAACTACAGCCTCCTTGTGTAGCAGGGCACAAGTCAATCTGCTGTTACTAAATGGGCTGATGCGCACAAGCACAGGAGTTTGTAAGCAATGTGAATAATGCAGATCTAGAATGGGCATCTAAACAGAAAACTGGTAATCAGGAATATAAACATTTCAAGAAGGAATTTGACAGCCTTGTGAAAGTTAATATGTAATTAAATAGAGAATTTTTAGGGACAGAACATTGAGATTGTCATGGAACTCCTCAGGTAACTGTTGGGTTTGCCTACTGAAAACTTCATGAAAGAAGAATGATTTCTTATCTACATTTACATTATAACATACGGATACCAAGCTTCAAGGCTTCTGTCACTTGCCTTTGGTGTTCAGAAAGAAATCTCTTCCCCTTTGAAATATACTTTGACTTCTGGGGACTTCTTGTACCTTATGGAATAGCAATTCCCAACAGCCTGAGAGGCAGGATGGTGCAGAACTGATCCTTGAGATACGGAATTGTCATGTGGGCCTAACTCGTTCATCCTGATCATGATAAAAGCTTAAGTAACCACTGTGTAATTCTCCCTTTAGGTCAGACAGGGAAAAGATCGTCACATCTGCTTTGTTTTCATTTTTTCATTCTCTCCTGCAATGTAGATGCTCTTTAACAGACACCATTTGTCTGCTTTGTAGGATCATTATTTAATGAATAGATAGTTACTGCTGAGAACTAAAGTACTGATGATGCTGTTGAGCTCTATGGTTCTCTTGGTCTGTCATATTTCATGTCACTAATTCATTGTATATTGCAAATTCAAGACCTGTGGTTGCCCTTCTTTTTAATATATATTACTTATCTTGGTTTGATATTAGTATAGGCATATGCATGGGTATACACAGTTATATATATAGAAATATATATATGTGTGCACACACTCATGTACATGTGTGTACAATAAAGGCAATATATGAAGGTATATGTAAAATAGAATAACCACAGGCAACACAACACTGGGCAAATTATTTTTAGGCGATAACAACTGTTCTATGCATCTGTTACCAAGTGTCAGAGGTTGGAGGGACCTGAACATAATTAGACACAGATGGCCCCCTTTTAGACTTTCATTCCAGTGTGGAAAACAATGGGCAAGAACATTAGACACGTGGACAAGGACAAAGATTGTTTAAGAAGCATCATACATAAGAAGGAATAAAGTAAAGTAATTGTCCTCAGGGGGTAGAGGGAAGGAAATTAATGCTTTCTACACAAGGTTAAATCTTTCTAGAGCTAAGGGCAACTGGGGATAGTATTGTTTACACTGTCCTTTGAACCACATATACGAGGTCAGGCATGGTGCAGCAGCAAGCCAGGAGTATGCTAACCTGACAGGCCTGAAGGCAGAATTCTATTTTCACTGAAAAACCTATGATTGTGTCCGTGGTGTCAACCTCTCTAGGTGTATACTGGAGTCTGCCAAACAACTGTGGCTGAATCAGAGTCTCCTTATAGAAAGAGGAGGACTACCTCACACACTGGCAAATGCAGGAAAGTATCCACAAATTTCTGAGCAAGTTCCACTACAGGGATCAGAAGAATCTAGGCTTTCCTCCTCAAAGTCTGAACCTTTAAACACCATCTTTGACAATTAATACTTTATTAATGGAGATCCAAAAATTAGTAATAATCCATTGATGCATTAAACCCTAGCACTGGGGGAATCTTTAAACAAAGCCTGGCTGTCACCAAAGTGATCCTGAACTACTATGTCTCCTAAAAATTTTGTTTTCTTTATAATTAAAATGTGCACTCTATTGGAGCCCAAACAGATCTATTGTCAACTCATAACTATTAGTATTAATAAAGTTTAGTAATATCAAATTTCCCCAAAACTAAACTGTTTCTTATAATAAGTCATATAGAATATCTGAATACTGACCTTATTCACAGCTTCCACAAGCATTCTCATTTCCTTCTCAATGTCACTGACAAATTTTAAATCCTTCCTGCAAGAACAGCAGTCTAGGTAAACAACGCAAGAAAGTGTACAAAGATACAATATCTTCATCTTTCGTAACATTATTTTCAACAAGAACAAAATTAAAGAACTCAATTGACTGAAGCAAAAGCAGTAGTGAGAGCACATTTTGATTTACATATTACACTATTTACATTTAAAAAATGTTAGTATGTCATCACTATTACAAAAATCATGAATTATTTTCCCTTCAACTCTTGGAACCCAGCATAAAATTCTATAATACAACTCTACTGTCTGACAATATAATTCTACATTTTCAAATGGATAATGTGGATTTTAAAGTTGCCATTTCAGTGTTTTTAAATTAAGGCAATTCACTTAATCATTAAGGCATTTCACTTCACTGTCATTAAGGCAATTCACTTAATTAGAATACATGATTAGACACAAAAATGAGGATTGGTTAAATAGAGTAGTGTTCTTTTCCAAGACAGTATCTTTCAGAAATACTTAGAACGTCTCTCAGCTTCAAGAAATCCCAAGATAGTCAAGACTGGAGTACTCAAATAGGAAGACAAAACAGAAAGCTGGGGACAGGAGGGGGGATGGGGGGGGAGGGGTGGCAACAGAAATTAACTGATTAAATGTTATTTCCTTGTAGGAAAAGGTGAGATGAACTGGAGTAGATGAACTGTAGAGAAACTAATTTCATGGGCAACACCTAACATCCCTAGTTCCAATGACTCTCTAAAGAGCAGAAACAGGATCTTACTCCCTTTTGCTTGTAACATACTACACGATGCCAGAGTTGTGACTACCCATATGTGCGTTCAAAGACGAGGCAAGTGTTTTATGTGCACTTTGTACCTCCAGAATCTTCCATATAGAAGAACTTCATGGAAGAGCAACCCTCAGCCACCTGATGATCTGAGTGAGCCCCAACTTACAGACTGTACAGACAAGAACAACAAAAGGCAGGCCAATGCAGATGGTGGGAGAGACAGAACAATTGCTTTTTCTTTAGAATCATCAAGGAGATTCTGAGGGAGCATAATTTGGGTTGAGGAATCTTCAAGGAAATGGTGGACTTCAGTATTCCTTAATCTGAAAGTTTCCTTTGAAAGAGGTATCCTCAACAAACATCTGGATTGCCCTAAAGAGTTCTGGATGCATCAGTGAACAGCTAAGGCAATCCAACAGGAAGATGCATCTTCTGTATCTAGACGTTCAGAGTGAAGAATAGTATTTCAGGCTGTTTACTCCTCTGTCACTAAGGCTGACAAAGCACAAATAAGATTTTTTTTACAGTATCAAACTTTGATATCACCAGATGGGACAGTGAAGAAAAAAATAAAGTCTCTTTTCAACAGTGTGCAGTCTTTCCTTTCCAAATTTGGGAGCAAACCTCATTAGACTGCTATGACATAAGAGGAGGGGAGTGTCAGGTCAACATGCAAGGAAGAATACTCTTTATTCCTAGCTGTACAGAAGCATGAACCCACACTTCACTGAAGGGCAAAAAGAAGCCTGCAGTGGCAAGCTTCACTGTTAGCAAAGGTCTTGAAAGGCCAAGGGTAACAGAAACTATCTACTAAGATGAGGAAGAAAATTAAACCTGTTGTAAATCATTTCACAAGAAGATGAAAAAAAAAAAATCCTGCAGGTTCAGTAGTCTTCTCTGTATGATCCTGATCAGATACCTGGGTAAGTAGGGACAGTAAGAACTGGCTACTGCTTATTTCTCACCTGTACTTGTCTCTGGTTCAGGTCTTGCAGTTTTAGATTGCTTGTTTTGGTGTCTCATCAGCTTGCTCATATCCTGTTTGGGGAATTTCATTTGTGGTCGTCCTGAACTGGAATTCGCTTGTATATTTATAAATTAACCAATGTACAATTCATACTGCCCTATCAAAAACCAAACAGAGTGTCTCCCTTTCCCAGGATATTGATGTGTATCTATTATCTGACTGAAGTATTTTCTCAAATATTTTTAATTCTTTTGGGTTACTCATCTGAGCTCTTACAATCACAGTCCCTGGAAGTATTGAAAAAACAGGTGGATGTGGTGCTTAGGGACATGGTTTAGAGGCGGACCAGGCAGTTGGGTTAACAGGTTGGACTCGATGATCTCAGAGGTCCTTTCCAACCTTAACGAATCTATGATTCTAATAAGTTTTCCAAGTTTTGCCATGTGTGTTGTTTTGTTGTTGTTTTATTTTAAAAGGAATATCATTATTGCTTACTAGCACAGAAACTGTGATTTGAACAATTACTTTCAATTAAGCTATTTATGACTGGTTATGGCCAAACAACCAGCAAACCACCCATTGTGAGCTCCTATGTTCTAACCTGCAGGAGACACTTCATGAAAAACAATGTACAGTAAGGAAATGAAGTGGTTCTTAGAATAAACACATCTGATCTGACATTGGGTATACTGAAATTCTGCAATGTGGGACTTAAAAGTCTCTTTTTCTGTGCAGTGTCTATAAATGGTGTATATTAGGCTTCTCCTTACCTCCTTGCATTGCATGTAAGCAGGAGCAGGCCTACTGCCATTTCAGTTCCTCTCAACCACACTATGTAATAAGAATGTTCCGCATTGCTTGTTTTTTCACTGTAGTTCTTGCTGTATATTTTTCGCTTTCCCCAGATTTTGCTGCCTTTGCCAAGAATCTCCTTATTCTTGCAACACTTGACAGTGCAAGATTTTGCCTCCAAGTGACTAACATTCCAGGCTTGCAGTTTGCCAGTCACGTGCTTGAGAAGCTGCCCTCACTGCACCTTCCTGCAGGCTTCAGTTCTTGTTTAAGAAAGCTACAAAGTTCTCCTACCCCTAAACCTGTACATTGCTCCTGTTGCCAGATCACACACAGGAGTGCTTGGCTCTGCCTTCATTGTCTACAACAGCATGTGGAGGGTTAACTCTTGGGAAGACTGGCTAAGAGGACACCTAACAAAGGACCCATCTCCCTCTGTGCCCCTCTAGACTTAGCCATTTGATCCAAGATTTCCCTGGTCCATACAGCTGCTGTGGGGTCTTGCACAGCCAGTGACAAAATAAGAAAATTATCTTCTGTGTAGCTCCATGGGGCCAGATATTCCAGATGTCCTCCTCTCCTTCTCCAGTAGTCTTAATTCATCAAATAGCAGCCTTAGCACCATCCTTGTCAAAGTGGGCATTGATACTTGTGCCAGTCTACCCTCCAGCTTCATGTCAATGGGCCAACTTGAGCATTTGCTTGCTCTCTGTGTCTATTTCTGGAGCCTCTTAGAAAGGTCATTGCTGAAGTGTCCACCCAGTGGATCTGTACCCCCTGATATGTGCTCAGTTGTGCTGGTACAGTCATCTCCATGCTAGAAGATGGATTCCTCTTGGCAGCAGGATATCTCCTCATGTATAGCTGTACAATGTAGAGACTTTTCTTCTGACTCCTTGTCAGATTCTGACAAGCATCAGCAAGATCAGCATTGAGCAGCATTACCATGCTATTCCTGGTGCTCCCTTCTCCTGTCACTCTCCCACAAAGAAGAAATATTATCTTGGCATGCTTCCACTTACTCATCTTCTTCCTGTTAACTGGAGTTGTACTGCATCTTGGAGCTTTATGGTTCTGTAATTAAAGACTACAGCTCAAAATCAGGAGTTTTCTCACAGCTTTGTCAAGTTTTCTCATTAGTAGACACGCATTTTTTTCAGCCCTTGACAATGTATCATCTTCACAGATCAATGGATTGCCTAAACAAGATAATATTGCAGCATTCTACTCATGGTTTTGGCAGCTGCTTTCTTCTTGAGGCATTGACCCTGCATGCACAGGAAGGCAGCTGTCATATTTCTCACCATTCTCAGATCCCATACATAGAAGTATAACTTACACTCTGCAGAAAACCACAAGCCCTGAACTTCTTGCATTACTGGAGTGACCTGCTCAAGCAAGAACAAATGCACGTGTCAAAACTTATACAGGATGCTGAGCTATCTGAAAAAAAAAATACCGTAACAGATACACTTTGTAGATCCTGCCATTATGAGGGAAACCCAGATCTTTTGCAAGACTGCCGAGATAAAAGATCATCAAGAGCAGTCAAGGAAGTAAGTTCATAAAGCCATAGCTTTACAAATTGCAGACTGCTGCTCATGTAAGGAGACACATGTTACTAGAGGGAGAAACTCATTTATCTTGAAGACTAGATAAATGAAAACCAGTAATTGAATGTGCAAAGTCATTGACTTGAGGACAAACAAAAAAAACCCTTTTGCTTTAAGCTGTAAATCAGTAAGCCTGGGTGTATTAGTTTATTGTGAGTTACCCATATACAGTGGCTACAAAGGAAATGCAAGTAAAATCACAGCATGACTGAGATTTTCAGAGAGAAGTTGTCCTGGTTTCAGCTGGGATAGAGTTAATTTTCTTCTTGTTAGCCAGTATGGGGCTGTGTTTTGGGTTTAGGATGAGAACAATGTCGATGATACACTGATGCTTTGGTTCTTGCTAAGTAGTGCTAGGCTGTTGCTAAATAGGTGCTAAGTGGCACTCACAGTGGTCAAGGACTTTTCAGCTTCCCACCAGACTGGCCAAAGGGCTGTTCCATACCATATGACATCACGCTCAGTATATAAGCTGGGGGAAGAAGGAAGGGGGAGACATTGGGCGTGATGGCGTTTGTCTTCCCAAGTAACCGTTACACGTGATGGAGCCCTGCTTTCCTGGGGATGGCTGAACACCTGCCTGCCCATGGGAAGTAGCGAATGAATTCCTTGTTTTGCTTTGTTTGCATGCACGGTTTTTGCTTTGCCTATTTAACTGCTCTATTTTATTTTACTTCAATTATTAAACTGTACTTCAATTATTAAACCCACGAGTTTTCTCCCTTTTACCCTTCTGATTCTCTCCCCCATCCCACCGGTGAGGAGTGAGTGAGCGGCTGCATGGTGCTTAGTTGCTGGCTGGGGTTAAACCACAACAGAAGTGTAGAAGCATTAAGGCTATTTTTCAAGGTATCTCTTAGATTATCTGGAATACAAGTGCATGATTCTGGTCAGTTCTGTTCATGAAAGATGAACACTGCACTATGGGTAGAGAATGGCTGACAGGAAGGTGAGACTGGACTGTACTAAAAAAAAGAGAAGGGACTACACACAAGATATTCAACACAGTAAGGAAGTGAAAATGTGTGTTTTGTTTTCTGAAAGAGGTAAAGCAAAACACATTCTATACACACTTAAGAAGATAGTCCTTATAAAGTACCACTTTTAAGTGTAAATACTAATAAAGCAGTACCTCCACAATGAAAACATTCAGTTCTTATCTTGCAGTAGGCTAATCAGTTGGAAGTAAAGCAAGAGGTGATTTACTCTTAAATTGTATGGCTATTTATGTAAAATTTTCACTTGTCTCAATATATCAGCAAATTAAATAAGGGATTTTCAAGTAGAAAGCATCCTCACAAAAATATGAAATTTATGTATCATTAGGATAGTGAAGCAAAACAGATTCAGCTCCTGTAAAAACTTAGAGCTGGTAAAAACTAATGTCATGCCTACAAACACACACACGAGTAAAAACGTCTTAGGTGACACTTATCATTTAAGCATCTTTTTAAAAATGTGTCTGATCCCTCCTTGTCATTCCAGATTGTGTGGTATTTATTAGTGTGATGCTTTTGATATTACCTTGACTTTCTACTGCCTCATTTTCAGATGTTTCAGTCTAGCAGCCCTCTTTGCAGTCAGCACTGGCATAGGCTTAGCTCTGCATCAATCAAGTGTTTTATTAATTCCATTTCTTTATTTTTAAAATAAAGGCAGTAAGGCAAAAAAATAAATGAGATTATTTCCCTCTGCCAATGTCAGGATGTAAGAGCATATTTCATTACTTAGCTATCACTTTTGTCTTTGTCTTGAAAAGTTTACAAAGAGCAACAAGATGGGGGTTGGTTATATATGAAAGCAGTGGAGATGTGAGAAGTACAGGTACTGATTTGTAGTGAGAAGAATGGTGGAAAATTATGTTCCCATTCTAAATCTCGTCCTGTTACAGAACAAAGCAACCCGTCAGGCACTTTTTACTTTTCAGGTTCACACTTTGGAGGTCTTGAGAAGTGCACATCACCTCCTTTGCCTCAATTATCACCTATTGCCAAGGCTGGAGAAGAGAGTAAACATGGGCATTTCTACAAGAGTAAATAGAACTATTCTGCATTTCCCATCTTCCGCTCAACACTGTTTACTTATGACACCTGGCATCATTAGAACACATACCTCGCATCTTCTTTTAAAAGGTCACTGTACTTTGGTCCAGAAGAACGGATGTTAAAAGGATCAGAATTATCATCTATTTCAAGAGCCTCAGCAAGACGCCTAAATTTGAGGGTAGGAGGGAAAAAACAATACATAACAAAGAACAACCAAACAAAAATAACACACAAATCCCCCCACCTCCCAAAGACTAAAAATATGGGTTACTAATACAGATGAACAGCTTGCAAAAGATACAGTCTGTACATTTGAAACTACTCATTTAGGAATAGAATATTCTAGTAAGATCTCAGATCACTCAATATAGATCTCTGCAACACAGGAATCATCTCCACATTTATCTAGGTCATGCAGGAAAGGATTTTTTTCCACATAACATTGACTTTCTGAACCTGGACTACTTCTGAAAAAAAGCAAGCAAGTTCATTGCTCACCTGTTCCTCTGAAGAGCTAAGCATTCTTCATCACATTGCAACCTGAATGATGAAAGAAAAATACAATTGGAATCACTGCTGCTACTCATACTTTTCAAACTGTAGCTTTGTTGGTGTCATATCATTATCACAGCCTAAAGAAGTAAGATGAGTATGTGAGAATTGTTTATTATATTAGATCAGATAATACAGCTAAAAACAAACAAAACCCAAAGATCTTTGACCACACAAGCCCTTCTCCAGGTCTTGAACAGAAGCAGCAATTGCCAAAGCCATATAAAAGCTGACAAAGGCAGCTTCTGAATTAGATTTTCTTATATTGGTAAATTAGATCATTTGAGAAAAAAATGCAGTTGATATCAGCATTGAGGGGATGCTACAAAGGATGGGAAGTTAGCAAAGGAAGATGTGACAAGGTCACTTACTCCTTTGCATCAGAAAAAATTATCAGCCAGAGAAAACAGGAAAGTAGAGGATTATGATGCACCATAAAAATCAGTATCTCAACTGAGCTCATAATTTCTAGTGTCAGCAGAGTTATGAATTTAAGTTTTCTGTCTCATCTTTGAAAGCTATTTTATAATTTTAAGGGATTAAAACGTCAGAGAAGGATCAAGAGTTCTCCAGAATTTCACAGTGGCAGTTACAAACTTCTGCCCCTTGGTCTGCATACATGAATTGATTCTGTTGATAATAGTTCCTCGATTTCAAACAAATAATTTCTACACGGGAAACTGGTTCATTCAGTGACATGTATTATGTTTGGAGACACACAGCTATAAGATTCAGAACTTCTGGTGGTTTTCTCAAAGGAGGCAGAAGAAAGCTAACGTACTTGCACTCTAAGATCAACCTGGTACTGTTTAAAGTCACTTGCTTGAAGAATAATTTTCTCCTCCTCTAAAAGAGGAATGTAGCCAATTTAGAGAAGCTACTCTAGGACTGACCAAATTTGTCACAAAAAAAAACCCCAAACCCTAATAAGGAAACCAAACTAAAGTACAAAATGTCTACAGGCAGGACCAGAGAGAGAAACAAAGAAAGGAAATCTCTGCACAGTTTACATAAAATATTCTGCTGTTGTAAATGAATGAAGCAGATTTGTAAGATACTTTGAAAATACTGGAGTTTGACAATAAACTAAAAATTTAAGAATACTTTATCTGCCATAATCTCTTTCCTTCCCTGCTCTGGTATTTGGTAGATGAAGAGTGGGGAAGGGAGAATACTTCCCCTGACTGTCCTTGAATAAAGGCTACCTGCCACAGTTCAGATATCGTATTAGGAAAGATTTGCACAAAGAAAAGTCATCTCTGGTAATTTCAACTATTCAAGGAAAGGACAGTATAAGTCTGTCCACACAGAAAGATGCCCAGCAGTGACTACAACACAATTTATATTACACATTGCAAAGGCTGAACCACCAACAGAGTGTCTTATTTGCTCTCCTGGCAAGTATACAGCTATTATGACAGACTTGCAGCTTCAGTAGCTGAAAAAGTCGTCCCCCCCTCCTTCTTCTACCAGCCCAGACTCCCATCCTCCCCACCGAGTTCTAGCACTGCCAAATGGTTGCTTTCTTTAAACAGTGACTCTTTTTTTGTAAAGTTGAAGTTGGCTTCATATTGTTGAGCATATTTGTATCTGGTTGGCACTGTGATAAAATAGGAAGAAAGTAGTTAAGGCTCAATCTGGGTAAAGCAGAGATTATTCTACAGTAATTCTAAAGACAAAAATTAATTGTTATATTGTACATTTCTGAGTATTCAATTAATTGAAACAAACAGGGTAGGCTAAAAAAAGACTCAGTTACTGTTTCCTATTTGTGCCTTTCTTATGCCATGCTTCTAATACCACGCTCTTTAAAGTTGCATGCAGGAATCAGTACGGCTCTCCCTCTTTCACCTTGTTTTTTACCCCAACTTTCTTCTGAAGTATGACACTGGCCCAACCAGAACAAAGCTGGAGAGTGGGACGAGCAGGTGCTCTCATGTGTCATTTCTGGTGTTAGTTCATCTTGCACATGCATTCAGAGTTAAAATTATTTCAGTGTAGAAAATAATCCAAAGGGATTTGGTAATAATGTGCTCCAATTTCATAGACATTAAACAAATAAACAGAACAGAATGATTAGGAAAAGTTCTTGAAGTATGCTGGTATTAGCTTTTGATACAGGAAGTCATTAAGCAACTGTATGGGAAATTTCACTATTTTGACTTTACACAATATAAAGGAATATTAGATTTTAACACACAGACTGACTCTGAAATAATCAAATTCACAATTAAGAGAGGAGAGATGGTAATAGAAAATAAACTAAAAACAGAAATTAGACTTCAAGGGCAAAGACTTCAGGAAGTCAAGTTTCTGACAGAAGGCTCTTGGAGAAACTTGACAATTCCTTGAAGAAATGACGCTAAAAGTAAAAATATAACCTATTCCAATCCTGAGGAACAGAAAAATCACCAAACTTAAGTCGTAAGTGTTTTTGTGACTTAAAAGCAGATTTGCAGTGCCAGCCAGTATGAGAACACAGAAGCGCCAAACTGAGACAAAAATGTAAGAAATCTAAAAAGGGTAACAGAAAAACATTATAAATAGTAAGACAATGACTAGGGGAAAATATGCCCTATTAATCATCCAGGACAGAATGCTGGATGCTGAAACAGAAGCAAAAAGTTATACTGTCTAGAAATCTGAAAAAATCCAGAGGAACTCTAAGGAGTTTGCTGGTAGAAAGAAACTCTGAAACCACAATTATATTGTTCCATATATAATTATAACAACAAACGAGCCAATGATAGAGAACTCATTCTACATGAAAGCAAAACCATGAACTGCTAAGGAACTGCAAAATACTCTTTTAGCAGTACTGTTACAGCAGAGTGAAGCTATTTTAAGTCTTCCTATTTTAGCTGGGATTTTGCTCACAATATTATGTGTTTTCCACATCGCCTATGTTTCAGGTACACACAAGGGTTTAAAACATGTTTCAACGTTTATCTCCTTACCTGGCCTGCTTCATTTCTTTTTTCGTAATAAGCCTACTGATTTCCACTGAATCCCCAAGCTGTAGATCTGTTAACTTAGTGGCTATAGATATAGCAGCTATTCTGAAAAAGAAGAGCGTTAGGATTTCATTTGAGGCAACACATAAACCTTTGAAAAGATGTATAAAGCTGCAGATTTAAACCTCCAGGTGGAAGAAGTAAGACAGACTGACCGTTTCCTCATCAGATTACAAAATGGGTCTCTATTTCAACATCATCTAGTTTTAGGAGTCTAATCTAGCTATCTAAATTTCATCTCCCTCAAGCAACTCGGAGCAAGACTAACAAATGGACATGCTTCTTCAGGGAATTTTTTAGAGCATCAATTCTAAGCAAATCTAAACTAGGCAATGGGAATACTCTTCTTTCTCACCTGCTTAATATGCAAACTACAGCTGACCATATAGCTTTAATTGCCTTTTTAACTTTTATGTGATTCTTCCTTAACTGTGTGCAACTAAAACCTGTAAAGTGAATTTATAAATTACTTAGAAATTTGCTTAGAAAATATGGGTGATACAAGCCATAAGGAAAGAGCAAAATGCCTGAGACTGTTACGATTTTCTTTACAGATATTCTTCATCATTCCCTTCAATAACAAGCCCTCCCAGTCTCATTTTCTTGCTAAAATGTCTATAACTAAAATATAATATACAGCAAGTTTTTAGTGAAATATCCCACACCATGCTCAAACAAAATCCTGAAAATGGAACATTCTATCCTCTGAACCATCTTTTCTGTTAAATTCAGATAAAAGGATATGTTTGTCTCTATGTTTTGCATCACATTCAGAGAACTAATAATCTATCAGGAAGGAAGATAATATTATATTATAATAATATAACATATTATAATGTATATATATTATATATAATGTATATGTGTATTATAGGTAATAATGTAATTTAATAGGATTATATATTATATAATAATAATATAATACGTGATAATATTACATAAAACCAAAAAGCACCAAGAGGCACCATCAGCTTCATATTTATGAGGTGGTGACAAAGTCTAGGTAATAGGCCATCAGATGATATGACATCATCATTTGTATCGTGTGTACAGATACAGCAGCACACTCCCTTTCCTGCTCCCTTGGGCATTGTTTCACTAACATTCACTGACAAAGCTGTTTCATCACTCCTGTAACGTTTTTGAAAAAACTTGGATGCCCCATTAACTTGCTAACCTTTCCACAGCAGTACTACAAGAGTGAGTTACTTGCGTTTGGTTTTTTTGTCCGGTTTTTTTTTTTTTCTGTTTTATTTTTTTTCCTCCCCAAGTGTGTAGACAGTGGAGAAAAAAAGCCAAACCCAATGCACACAAAATCAGAATATTTTAATCTTTCAGCAACCTGAAGAGTTGGAATTATCATACAAACTTAGCTGGCATTAAATGCTGCTTTTGTTAATATCACACAGGCCAAGAGTAATTTGTAAACGTCTATGAATACATTTGAACAAAGAGATACAAACACTTGCTTTAAACTGAATGTTTCTTTCCCCCCTTCTTGACTTGGGCTCTGACTAGATAAATAAATATACCCGTGTTCAGCTTATGCATGCAAGGACTCCCACTGACTTCAAAGAACCATTTTCTTTGTATGAATACTTTTGCAGTGCCTGAGCTACAGAAACAGTGAAGAAATAACAGCCTTCAAAAATTTGGACTTCTAATTACATTACTTTCCCAGCTTATCTTTAATGACAAGCATGTCTCAATTTAAACTGGTATTTCAAAGTTGAGTCAGTCTTCTGACTTGTATCTAAAGTGAGATAGATCTTAACAAAAAAAACCCCTTTTTTTCTAAAAAAGAAAAAGTGATCACCACTACGTCTATCTTGCATTCAACTTAGTATTGACTACAACTGTTCTCAGCTGTTTCTGATTAGCACATTTTTCTCCTCATTTTCATTAGGTAGTATTAAGCACCTACTGCACAGATGCTAAGCCATCTTCTGTCAGAATTTGAATCTGGGCAATGTTCAAAAGGAATAAAGCAGCATATCCTAAACTGGGGCAGTATCAGGCCCTCAAATAGCAGTTCCAAATAAAACAATCATTAGGAAGCTTTCTTTGAAAGCCAGGAAGAATCTGTGACTGTGTTCTCCTATCAATTGAGATGCAGAGCAGAACTCTGGCTGCATATCAACTCTCTAGATTAATTTTTTGACTCCCTCTCAATCACAGCCTCAGAATAATATTTTTTTATTATTATTATTACTGTTTTGCTATTTTCAGTTTAAAAGTTCCAAAGCCCTACTTTTCTTCTTTTCCTTGTCCCTTCCTTGCCCTCTCTCGTAAGAGAGAAAGAAAAATAAGTTTAGAAATAGGATCCGATGACAAATCTATTGTAATAAATGGAATTGGGTAGGACTCAGTTTGCATATTAAGAACCAAGATTTAGATGCCAAAGCTCTCCTGCCTAAAATTTAGCTATTTCAGAATGACTTTAAACCAATCTTTAGCTTCCATCATTTGTATTGACTAGGTTCCATTACACATTAAGGGAAACTTAGACAGCAACTCACACATGGACTGCTATATGTAATCACCTACATTAAGGAGCCTGAATCTGGACCTGCTCAATTAGTCTATATCTAATTGCTCTGTGTGGGTAGAGCAGCATTCCACAGATGGGAGATTTAGCCTTTGACACACCACCACAGTTAGACTAACAACAGTGAAAAGACGAATATGTTCTAGTACAGCACAGCTGGTATGAAAGCTCAGGGGAATACAAAAAAAAAGAAACTGTACGTGGAAGTACAAAGCAAGTGTGAAAAAGCTTGTGAATTAAATATATTTAGTCAAGCCTGAAATTTAATCGAACTGCAAAGAAGTCAGTCCAGTAAGGAATTAAAATAATTATTACAGTACAAACCTTTGATATGTATTAGATGCTTCTGAGCAAATCATACTCTCCTTTCTTCTTCCACATTCACATTGAAGATCAACCTGTTGTACCACAAAATAGAGCAGCTTTCTAAAACTTTTGTCTTTTTATGGCCATAGATGGGTGTGAAGGAGGTAAATTTACTCCTTTAAAAAGTCCCATTTCAGTGGAATAATGACTAATTGAAAGTGAATAGTAGTTTTTTAAAAAAAAATTCTATATTACAAGTTTACAGAAAAAATGTCATGCTATGAATATACAAACATGCCATTTTTTGTCACAACTGTTATTGGCTGACAATTAAACCATACAATTAACCTGTGAATTTACAGTGAATTTTCTTTGGGTATCTGACCTTTGCACAGCAGGATGTTGTCGGGCAGGGTGAAGAAGGATGACATGGAGCCATACAGGGATGATTACAATATAGCCTTGGAATAATACATGGCTGTTTACACTCTTCATCTATAAGACATTCTCCTTTATGACATATTCTTTTACATTTGTGCATTCCACATTTTAACATTTGATTGCAGCGAAGTCCACAGGAAATATCAGTGAGATGACAAGGAATATTACTTCGCAGCTGGAAGAGGGGAGGAAAAAGATGACAACTAAAAATGAAATATTATAAATGCAAACCTCAAAGTACTTTCACTGTTCACACCTTCATTTGGCACTGTCCATGCAAAAATCGTAATACTGAAATATCTTAGGACTATGACCCAATTTTTATATCATAGTCCAATATAGCAGTTGCTGAATGCGTATGGCGCAAAAGATATACTTTTCTAATTTAATCACATTAAACTCAAACTCTAGTAACATATTCCATTCCAAAGAGGCCACAAAAATCTAAGCCTACAGTTCTAGAACATTATTTAGCATTCAAAAACATTAAGTGTCCAGACTTACTTCATGCTTGCCCATACACCATTTCTGAGTGAGATAGGTACAGGGTGGACATTTCTCCTCGCTATGACAGGAATGGTACACTGCAGTCACAAAATTATAAAAGCCAGCACAGTTTTATTAACATACTTCAGTCAAATGCATTAAAAGAGACAGTAAAGACTATTAAACATGAGTTTGCATTTCAGAACTACACAATTTATGGGAAGTATGATGCTTCATGCAAGGATAATTTGTTCTTTAAAGTACTCTTTAAAAATTATGATGGCAGGTTTTTAGGTGAATATTCTTCCATATTTTCTAAATTTAATAGCAGAGAATTTTGTAACTTCTGAGCAGGGTTATACTACCAGGCAGAATTTGTCAGAAAGCGTATCTGTTTGACCTGTGCTATATTTTTTGCAATCAGCCAACGCAATTCCAAGGAACATAGAAACTAACTGTTCACTAAATTATCCTACTGGTTTCAACAGAGCACTTAATCTTTGGAATACAGCATTTAATGTGCTGTGACTATTAATAATGATCAGAAAAAAATCCAATGCTTTTACAAGTCAGAAGTACCACTACTGGTATTCATAGCAAGTTTTTAGTTGGTTGGCTTTTAAGTGTAGACTTTTGGAAATATTCACAAACTACTGAAAAAGCATCTAATAAAAAAGCAAATATATGTTCAAACAGACCTATATACACTTTTCCACATTTTGATTAAAACAAAACAAAAAACCCAAGCAAAACTGAATGGCCTGACTTACCTGGATGATCACAGTCATGGGGCCTGGTGCATGTTTTTTTACACTCTGGTGGCTGAGTGCCACAGGGGACAGGGGGGTAAATCACAGATTCACCACAATAACAAGTTAACTCATCAAAACCTGAAAAAACAAGTCAAATATATCCCAATGGCTACATGTATTTGCACTTTTCCACTACGATAAATCTTTCAATAACATGCAAATGTTTTACTCCAGCTTTGTTCTCCGATATTAAGCACCACTGTAGTGAATTTATTAGCTTTTACGGCTCCTACAAGAAAACTGGACTATGATCACTTCATTAGGCATAATGCTTGCTTTTAGAGAGTAGTTCTTTGACAGCGACATTTTGAACTGGAGCAAGAGAAATGCTCACGTCAAGTTGAAAGCTGTTGCTCTTCTATCCTTGACTTAAAAATTGGGAGCCATCTCTTGAATTCCCTTCCAGAAAGCACATCATCCAAATCTTGTGCTCCAAACTTCACCCCACCATCACTTTTTCAGATCAGTAGTTAGATTTTGTCCTTTTGCCAAGCCCTGCACATGGTACTGGGAAGATTCCAGAGAAAATGACCAAAAGGCCACCAGTCTGTAGACTTCTTCCTATAATTTCTTCTGTATAGTTCTTTATGTCATTTAGTATTACATGGATCTTCATAAGCAGCTTATGAACCTGTCCAAATACTTCAAAGCCAACTTTACATGTCTTGGAAGTTCTCTGTCTCAGGCAGTATACTTTCCTTCCCCGCACCCCCCCACCCCCTTCCACATCTGGGAAACAGATTTTAAACTCTTATCACAAGATTCCAAATCCCGGTGATAAAATAAACAAAGGAATAGAAATACTTACATACACCATCCCAACCAAAACTTAACACTGCACAAAAATTAATACAGTTCACTGCTGTTTTTCAGACTCTAAAGAAACTGGGAGGGAACTGATTGGAATGCAAATTACAGTTCAAACAGATAAATCCTTAGAAAAACAGGATACTAACAGAAAATATTAACAAGTAATATAGAAGGAGATCTGAGAAGAAAAAGAGAATCTGATTGGTCTATAAACCAATAAAGAGATAGTGGATCAGGGAGAACAAGAGAGAATGATGGAGGAGGTAAGAGAATAATGGGGCAATAAAAATACAATACAACAATTCCAACTTGAAAAGATGATGAGTGTGTTAAGGGAGCTGCTGAATTCAGCAAGTTCTCTGAATCTGGGAATCACAGGATTCCTCCCTTCCTAGTCTACCAAAGCAAAATCTGTTGAACTCTAAAACCCCAAAGGTTCCTACTGTCCCACTTCCATGCATGTGATGGCTGCTGGATTAATATGCAGGTCCGGCCAGTAGCAAGTCTGAACACATATTCCAGAGAGACAAGACACACAATACATACATGACAATAACATGACCAGACACACAGACTAACACAGAGCCAACTGAACAAGATTCACGTAAACAGGAATACCAATAGCCAAGTCCTCTTCCTCCTCTCCAGCTCATCAGGATTGAAGTTCACTAGTGAAGACACACACACACACGCATACACTCTAGATTCACATGCACACCACATTCATGGATCTCAAATATTAGCATAGGCACTGTCTAATATCCACACCTGGACAGACCCCTTACCCAGTCACTGGCTGAAACCTTACATATTTCCAGAGGCAGATCTCCTCCACCAGCCAGCCAGTCCACCTTTGAAGCAAGTTCATTAGCAAATTATCTAGACATACACAGGCACACACAGGACTGAAATTAACAAGGGAATCACACCTCACCCCCGGTCTCTCCAGGTGCTGGCTCCCAGACCAAGGGGCACCTGTAACTTGTGATCCCATTCTCCAGCTGCTGGGCATACAATTTAAGTCTGCCTGGTCTCTCCAGCTGCTAGCATAGAGACTATGTGCTCCCATGATCTGCAGCCAAGTCTCCAGCTGCTGGCACTTAAACCTCTCATACACAGAACAGAGAATGAGATTACACTGAAAGATATTAAATCTTAACTAGGACAGGATAGATAGCTGTCGTCAGGTGCACACAGCTCTGCCAGAGAAGTACACTGACCAGCAGCTTCATTTGTGCAAGTGGTGCCTTTCATCTCTCCTCCTCTCCGTTTTCCCATGCATCCACCTTGATTCCTCCCAAATAATCTACAGGAATACATTTCTCCTCATTGGTCCCAGTTTAGCTACATCTGTACCCAAATCTGCTATTTCTGGTATCATTAGCTAGGTCATCCCAGCATCACACAACTACTTAAGTTCTCTTGGCCTTGCAATATTCCACTCCCAAAAAGGTTCCCAATACTTTCCTCCACCAAATCTCTGGGAAGCTCAGTCATCTCTCACCCTTAACCTCTGTGAAATCCATCCATTCCTCATGGCACTACCTTGAAACTTTTGTCAGCTTTTCACTGTGCTTTTTGTTATGTTCAGAAATTTCTCATGTCCAGTTGTTTTTTGTGGTCTGTTCAGTCAGTTAAATCTCAGGCCAGGTCCTAGTCATTTGCATCTTAGAGTGCAGCAGTTAGTAGAAAGGATCATAATTTTTGTCTAAGGAGACTTAGTTACAATAAATTCCAGCAAACAAGAATGCTGGGGAGAACAAAACTTTAAAGGTTAGAAGAAAGAAGTAGAAAAAGCTGAGAACTTTCAGAATGCCCATCGATTTTCTGTGGAAAGCAAGCATGGGAAAGCATAGGGCTTTTGTCGTCCCTCACTAAAGGTCTTGAAATTACCTGTAACCCTCCAGGCTTCAAAGCCACAAGTCTTCCTTGGTCCAGGAAGATGAAAGACCAGAAACCAAGGTCCCTGGAAGATCTGAGTGTCAGACAGCTACACTGGCTGCTTGTTATTGATGAGAAGCGATAGGTGAAGAATATGAACTGTAATGAAGGTTCCTTAACTAGCACTAATCAGGGTAACAGGGAGAGAGTGCAGAGAGGTCTGATCCAAAGAGTGGAAATACAACTTAAAAAAAAAAAGGCAGCTGTCTAATGCTGACATCATTTATTTTCCCCAAGAGATGTATTGCTGTCTTGAAGTAGACCAGGTGTGTATAAAGAGACCCCAGCATAGAAAGGGACCTCACCTCTCATCACAGAGGAAACGACACTGGAAAAGTACCATACCTGGGAAGCACACAGAACCACAGAGGTGCAGATGCACAGAAGTATCGCATCTTGATGCCAGCCCTCACCATTCCCAGCAAACACAGTAGTGGAGATGAAAGCCCGGGCAAGAAATCCAATCTAATGAGGGGCAAGTGCCTTGCAGCTGACCATGCCATGGCCCATGATACCATGGCTGATGCAGCCCAACTGCAAAGTGGTGGCTAGACAAGTGGATCAGAGCCAAGGATGGACTTCTTGGTGCTGAGACGCACTCCCCATCAGCTACAGGGTCAGAATCACACAATGATCTGAAATCTCAACTAGCAGCATCCAGAGAAAGCAGGTAAGAAGTCTCTGAAGATGCTGCTTAGCTGATTTACCTCTGGACAGATTCAGAATGGGAGACTTCAGGGACACAAAGATTTAAGCCAGATCATCATAAGTATCTGGTTCCTTGAATAGGTAGCTGCTTTTCCTGTGCTCAGAAAAGGGCCTCACTGCAAAATTTCAGCAGTGAAGTTTGACCTCTCAATTGCATCACATCCAACAGTGGAACAATTTACAGGGGAGGTCTCTTCAGGCTAAGAAAGGCATCTGAATCTTAGGTCTGAGAGTGAAATATAATCGTCAAAAATATTGCAGCAATGTGGAGAAGTTTAATGATCTTGAAGATCAAACCCATGAAATCCAGTGAAGAAAAACAACCGTTCAGAAAAATCTGTGCATTCTGACTCAACTAGACCAGAAGTTACTAACAGGACCTTTGAGACGGTCAGATTACTATTTTGCTTTGTCGACATTTATTTTTTTAAAGAGAGGTACAGTCAGCATGCATGTCATACTCATAGGCTATTAAAACAGACTACAACTATTTCAACCACAGTGAGCTTTAGAGACTCAAGAACTGGCACAGCTTTTAATAGAGTACATACCTGTCTAGCTATTGAACCAGCTTAAATCTTTTGTTCAGCTGTCCTAAGAAAATTAATACCTGCTGGCTGTCAATCTATTTCTAGCAATTCAGTACTAATTTTCACCATCCACAACGTGACCAGAAGGCCTAAGACACACATGACTGACATCTCTTATTTCTTCAGATGGTCCTGTCCAGAGAAAAATCACTAGTGTTCCAAGTTGGGAAAGTCTGAATTCTAAGCAGCTAAACAAATTCTGCTACATACCTCAATATCTTTAACAGTTACTACATTGTTAAACAAGAGTTCCCTTAACTTAGAAATTATCTTTCTAAACTGCTTTTTTTTCCTCGCATGATTCCTCAAATTCTTTAAGTGATTGCAGATCAACATATATAACTGAATATATTTCACTATAATTCAATTTTAACTATTAAAATCCAACACTTAGTAAACTCATCTAAAATGAAATAACTTCCTCTTTCATGAAAAAAACCATACAATCAAAATCAACTGCACATTCTTCAGGTTCTGGGTCAATTTGGATCACATTCTCTGTCCAACTCTGACCAGTTAAGTGAATAAATTTCTATAATACATAAGAAATAATGTACTCTTGCACGTAACTCACTTGTTTGCCAGCACGTCTGACAACTGCCCCGATGACAGGGTTCTTCACATCTGTGAAGCCCACAGTTGAGTTTACGACCACAAACCAAAGAACACTTATGTTCTGTGTCCTAGGGGAAGGCAAAAAAGAAAAGGAGAATTAAACTATAAACCCCATTTGTTTATTTTTCTCTGTGAGGTCACAAGCTACTAACTGACAAAACTGTATAGTGCAAAAAAATAGCTTAGGCCTGATCTATACAGTCGCTGTATGGATACACAACTTTTAAAGCGGATTCTGTTAAGACCTCTGTTGCAGACATAGCTACATCACAGCTTATGCTTCCTGTATTAAGTATCTTGTATTAAGTATTCTATTAAGTATCTTGCTTCTTGTATCCTTCCCCTCCCCATTCACCCTGGAATCACTGCATTGACAAAAAGCACCTTTACACTGATTTAATTGCATTAAGGCTGGAACATGGTTTTACATTTATAACGATACCCATAAAAACAAATGCTGCAAAATAAACGCACACACACGAACTTTTTGAGCATGACCAATACTGCAAATAGAGACTGAAGATGCACAAAAATTGAAAGATACAAAAACAAAAAAATCTTTCAACATCACAACGAAAACCAAACACACACCACAATGAATAGTTTTATAAAACCACACATAAACTTACCACACAGCAAACTTCATTACACTTGTGTCGTCCACATGATCTTTTCTTGTTGCATCGCTTGTCACACATGAACGTAATAGCAGCTATTAAAAACAAAAACAAAACAAAAACAAAACAAAACCAGTCACAACTCATACAGCTTTGCTTATGCTGAGAACAAAAGCTGCGGTGACAATATTATGCTAAGGCTGTTGCAGAGCATGGTCTAGAAGAGACTAATACAGAGTAAGTCAGCAAATTTTAATTTACTTGCTCTTCCACATTTAACTCCCCATGTGAACACTTGGCTTCCATTAAACGAACAGAAAGGAAGAGCAGAATACATGAAACTAGTTTATTTCACATTAGTCTTTACACCATAAACTCTGCACAACAGAACACAGAAAACAGGATATCCTGATACACCAGAGTACCACAAACGTCCAAATTGGTAAGGCAGTAAAAGTCAGCTAAATACAACTACTGCTGATATGCTCATGAAACTAGTGCTAACAAAGAACATCCTTATCACTATCCACAGGTAACAAAAGCAATCACTTCTGGATTCTGAAAAGGAAAGTCTTCATAGACAAAAGCTCAAATTAGGAAATATGCCTATTACTACCTTATATATCTTGTAAATAAGTACCTCAGTATGACAGGGGTCCATCAAGTAAACATGTCACTGAGGTGAATTTTGAAATGCTACATCCAGAATACCAAGAACTGTCAAATGGGAACACTCAGCCAGGCTCAGATGCAAAGACCAGCAGCATACAACTGTGAAGCACAATCAAAGCTTGTATTTCCCCAGGAACTTAGATAAGAGCAGAGCAAAAGCATTACTTTGCATCTGAGCTGTGCAAGTTGACCCAAAGGCATGCAGGATGCCGAGGGTAACCCACTGAATATGGCAGGTGGCATAAGAAACTCTTCAAATTGAAATAGACAGCTTGTCTGGAATCTTTGAGATCAAATGCTGAAGAAGTCTTTCCTTATATAAAAGATGGATAGAAATCAAAGAGGTTTATTTCAAACCTCTTCCCAAAAGTACCAGCATCTCAAGAAATTACCAACTTGGCACAGAAGTATGGATAAAAGAAGCAGTACAGATCAGAAGTTTCCCAACTTCATTTATCAACCCCAAAATTAATATGAGCTGTGTATCGTTTTTAAAACAATTTCACATTATATATGTAACATAATATTGTACCTTTATTTCTGAGGAGAGCACATGGGACTTCCTAGGAAGCAAACAGGTAGCCATTAGGTTAAAACAGATTGAAACTTACTTATCTAGAAAACACCTAGTCACATGATACAGAAAAAAGCAGCAGTCTCAGTTTTCATGTGTATACATGCATACTTTCTGTATACAGAAGTGAAACAAAAGCTGGGAAAAAATCCTCAAATCTTTTAAACACAATACTTTTTCCTTAGAGGTTCAATACCAATTAAAAAAAATTGTAGCTTTGTATTCCCCACTTAATTCAGCAGATAATGCTGTGAAGTGACAGAAACATGTTTGTCCTAAGAAACCAGAAACTTGCATGGCAGAAACCAAAAAAGAGAGAGAGAGAAAGTGAAGTCAAATCTCATGATCAAAGAAGTCTTACCTAGATTAAAGACCTCAACATGAAAATAAAAGGTGATGTATGAAAAGAACATTGTTGATCGACTACATTAACCTTCAGTCATCACAACTTTACATTCTGAGTTGTCATTTCTGAGCATTACAATTTTTATGACTGATTTAAATTATCACTGTAGTTCACTCATACTTTTTCAAGCAGCAGCTTTCTGGTGCCTGAGAAGCTGATTAACTAACCCCCAAATCTCACTACTTCGTTTCAGGCCTCAAAATGAAAGATAATCTGAAGCCTTCTACTCCATAACTACCTTCAGCAAACTTGCAGGAGAAATCTGTTCCAATCTCAAGCAAAACTTCAGACATTTCTATGAACTCATAGACATATATTCAGAAGCCATCTCTGCTTATAGATGATACATAATAGGTCAGAAAAGTCATTAAGACTCCTGTGATAGTAGCCAAAGATTTCAAAGCTATGATCACAGAAAGTAGCATAGTTGAAAAATATACTAATTATTATATAACAATTGCTGAGAATCTGCTGGGTCACTATATAAATGTACAAAGAATGGCGAAGAGTGAAAACTTCATATTCTCCCCAAAAAATTCTAGAACAAACCTACAAGCTATTACTATAAAATTTTAGTTAGCTTTTTATGTTAGGCTACCTTTCTTCTCTCAGTTTACATAACTCTTGGTAAAACTACCATTCTTTGTGTTATATAAATACTGCAGGATAATACAGGACTTTGCAGCCAGCATAAACAAGCAGAATTCTGTGTAAACTCTGCAAAAAATACTTCAAAAAATTGCCTTCACAGTAAGTAGCCTCTGCTAGCACTTCACAGTATAATCTAGTTAGCATCTATCAGTCAGTATACAATGGAGGTTCTTGCAACTAAGGAGCACAGCACCTCTTACACTTCTTAGCTTTCTTTTCATCAACTACTTCAGCTCCTTTTTCTCCACAGCTTTAAAAAACAACAAAGATTACCTGTTTCCATGGTCAAGCTTCATAAACTCACCTTTTTTTTGAAGCCACACCTACAATAAATATTTGATGTGTGAGAACATGGTCTACAGTCTCCTTCATGGCAAAGGCTTTCACATGTATGAATGAACTCTAGCAAAATGAAAATACAAAGATTAACAATTAATAAAAAAAAAACATGGCCTAGAACTTCATATTTATTAGGAGCATCACTGGTCAAAGATTACGTGTAGCTGGGTTTCCAAACAAATTAACTATTTTAAGTTAAATGTGCATAAAATTTTGCTATTATTTTCAACTTTGTAATCCTGAATCTATAGACTAGAGTTTCAGGTCTACAATTAACTTTGAAAATGCATACACTTTAAATATTTTTTACATTAACGTATGGGGGGGGGGATTTTGTGTGATACTATCTTACCCAAATTCCAGGAATTTTAAGTAATTTTTTCTTCCTTTTCAGCCCAAAAGAATGCCTTACTATGCATACCTTCATATTTCACTTAACTAGGTTAACTGAAATTCAACTAAAAGCAAAATTACTCATTCCTTTTCTACTTGTTGACCTTGGAGTGACAGAATGCGTAAGTCATTAATAAGAAGCCCTCATCTTGACAACATTGGTCTCTCTCCTCTCTAAAGTCTAACAAATCACAATTAAATATGTTGTCTGTAAAACTGGAGCTTCACACAAGCTCACAGTTAAATACACTTCAGTTGCCTAATGTACTTATTGCAGTGTCAAATTGCTTCTGCTCATAACTTTCTCCAACTTTCCAATGCTACTTTTTACTTCATGACCCTCTTACAGCAGCAGAAAATGAGTATTTACTGAAGGTATCTGAACAAAGTCATTTATCTCTACCAGTCTCCACATGAAAGTCAAAAATCTAGGTAGGCTTTTAAGACATCAGTACCTACTACTCTCTGGAAATTCCTACAGCTCTATTCCTCTACCGATATAGGAAACACGCATGCAAACAAAATTTAAAAGGCTAGCTAGTGTTAGTGCTTTCTAGACAAATATATTTCCTCATTTTAAGGTATCATTATGAACAAACGACCAGACTGCACACTCTGCAGTGGCTTTTACACTCAGTTTGGTTAAAACCCAAAATCACTGATCAAATATTTATTTCTTAAAATGAAACAGTTAAGGATCACTTTTTTTTTTTAAACAATGAGATAATTTGAATACTCTGATGCAGAAAGTTCTAATTACCATAGCTACCACAAGAAAGGGGTTTGCCACATGTTTTTCCACACGATGGGATAGGGTCTGTGCATATTTTACGTTCAACACATCCTAGTTCCAGTAACTTGCTGAGAGGAGTCTGACCACAGGGACAGCGATACACTACTTGTGGAAGTCGTGGACAGAGCTGGCAAGGTTGAGGATGGCATACTTGCGTACAGTTGTGCCTCCCACAATTTAATTTTCTGGAAAAAAAAACAATGAAACAAAAAACAAAACAAAACAAAGAAAAAGGGGAGTTATCTAAGAGTATCATGATCACTGAGTGTGAATAAAATGACCTTTTTCTTTTCAGAAGCCTAAATTATAGTGACCTTACTTGCCACATATATTCTGACATGAGAAATTCCCAAATCCATCTGAGAATTCTTCCTTTGTCCCACACAATACTTCTTTAAAGTTGCTTCCACAGTAACACACTGAAAGAAAGCAATATTCCACAGAAAACACAAGAGAATATCAGTGAGAAAACACCTCCAGCAGTACAGCAATTATAAAAAGGTAAAATGTGAAAAATTGTTACAGTCAGTTTTTAGAAGGATAATGAAGTTGCTCTTTAGATTTATTTCAGCAATAGAGGTTTCTCAGTCCTACAGAAGCTGGAATACCTGTTTTATTTATTTTGATAAGGAGAGAAAAACTAAAGGTGAATCACTATCCGGAGAAAAAGCTTACTTATTAAAGCAGTATACATAACAAGTTAATTATTACCTTAAAAGTTGAGAAAATTAACTTGCAGTTTTCTATATAAACTGTTCAACAAAAATGCGTTCATATACTGGCACACATACTTGGACAATTTAATTTCCATTCAAGACCAAGTTTAGAAAATTTTAACAGAATCCACGAGTAGCTTGTTGAAATGTGCTTTCCTTTAACTCTTTCTATTCTTCTTCCATGTACTGTTTAATCAAGTCTCAGAATTATAGTAAAAGATTAAATAGGATCATGAGACAATTCAGGTCAGAAGGGCCCTCAGGCGATCAGCTAGTCCAAGCCCTTACTTAAAGCAGAGTCAGCAATGAGATCAGACCACATTACTCAGTATTTTATTCAGTTGGGTCTTGAAAACCTCCAAGTTTCCAAGAGAGTTTTTCCTTATAGCTAGTTATAACATTTCAACTTAGGCTTATTGTCTCTCATCCTCCCCCCATGCACAGCCTGTCTCTGTCTTCTTGATTATCTCCTATTAGCTATTGAAATGCCACTACTCAGCCTTCTCAAGCTAACAAAGCCCATTACCACCAGCCTGTCCTAATAGGGCACATGCTCCAACAGCCTAATCATCTTGGCAGGACTCTTTCTAGTCATGTTTATATTCTTATTTAAATATATAGTGATGCTGACACATTTTCAATTTTTTAAATATTCTAGCAATAGATTTTGGTTTTGTTAAGTAAAAATAAAGCACTTGCCTCTTGGTACTGTTTTTTTTCACCCTCTTGTTTTCATAGTGTAGAGTGGATATACATAAGGCATTCCAATACTTACCTTGCTGTGCTGTTAATTGGCAAGGTGAACATTTTCCTGCATGGCACACTTGAGTACAGCTGTGCTTACCACAGTTTAAAGTATTTCCACATACATTAGAACAATGAATTTTTGTTGATTGGCCACAGCGAACTGAATGACTGTAGAGAAACGACACCATAGTCTGTCAGCTACCTTAATATCTACAGAGCATTTATTAAAAAGGAAAATACTTTTTCAGTAAAATGCCAAAGCCTTTGAAAGGAAGCATAACTTATTAAAGAGTTTTTAGGAAATAACTCCCCCTATCTTTCCCTCTGCTTCCCATCTCCCACTCCCCTAAAATAGGACACTTATCACAGTAGTGAGTCTATGTGATCTTGCTATGTAAAATAAAATTCAGTAATCTACAACCAATCCATTTTTCTACTGAAGACAAAGTGCTTTCAATGACAAATACTGCCACAGAAATAGCTGTACCTTCTTTTGAAAAACTAAGATCACTTAATATTACATTCGAACTTTCAGAAATAATTGTAAAAGTCTGAAAACCTTTTTTCTAGAGCAAGAATGCTAACACTGAAACGGGGTTTTGGTTTGTTTTGGTTCTGGAAATGAGCACAGGCAAACATTTTATTACACAGAATCAGTTCCAGGTAGCTAGAACAGGGACTCTAAAGACTCAGAACAACTGAATATGAGAGATCACAGATAGTATGAGCAGTACAGTCTTGCTGTTGGCAATGACGCTATATGCGTCAAACATGCAAGGAAAAGACAGCCTTCAGTCTGGCATATACTACAGACTTCTCTCTTGCTAGTGGTAGAGCGTCCCAGAAATGTATGTGTTATTTTTGAAATTATTATTTCTGGAATGGAGTAACTCAACATTACATTCCATTCAGACAGAAAAGGTGTGAACCTTTTTCTACTTCTTCCTCCGTCTCTTCTACAAAATAAAATAAAGAAATACTAGAATAGGATTTCAAAATTAAATCAATTCACAGACTGCTTGGATAATTCAGCTACATGTATCATAAACTGATTTTAATACAGACCACTCTTTTTAAATTATTTTTATTTTCTTAAAAGATTAAAAGTAATTGCATTTTTTTAAAATATAAAATTCTCCAAGTTATTTTAGCGCACAAATAAAAGTTACAGCTTAGAATAGAATAAACTTTGTTCTGTAAACTTCTAATAAACTATAAGAAAGTAAAAATTTATTATATAAACTTTTAATAAACTATTCTTATATAAACTTTGTTTGTATAATAGAAGCGTTCTCACCTTGTTTGTCCACATTCACATGTTTTTGTCACAAAGGCTGGGCACGAAGGGCAAGGTCCTGGATGGCACAGGCTTAAAAAAGTCAGAAAAGCAAACAAAATTGTAAAGTTACCTTTAGCTTTACTACAGTCCCAGAGAAACAATCCACCATGACCCAATCCGCAGTGCATTATCAGAACATTATACAAGCCACCTACACTGCTGCAGGGTATGAAAGCATTATTAACACAAGGAAAAAAAAATATTAGATTATTACAGTTGCATCAGTCTCAAATGTCACTGATGTTGCTGCTGTCAAATCAATAGTAACAGTGCTACTAACACATTTCATATTTTGCATTTCACCAGCAGACATGCATCAACTGCGTTCATCACTGATAACACTCAAAACAAATATCACATGTGCAAACCATTAATACATTTCTTTCTTCAGTGATCTTAAATAAATTAGAGAGAAAAATTTCTCTATGAATTTCTTCTTTTGAGTTGGTGGCTTTATCTTTGAACTCAGCATTTCTAACGCCACCAGTAAGAGTTGTTGCTCCTCTTCCTGTAAGGTAACGCATGGGAGATGCGGCAAGTCTGCCTCAGTTTTCTTTCTTACCACCAAGTACAATTCCCTGTGAGTGTCGTCAATGCCAGTCCTCTACTTGATCATCAGATCTCACCTCCTACTTAAAGAAACACTAGATGGTCCCTATCTGCATATAGGACCTCTGCTGGGCACAGACAAGCCCAGGTTTGTGAAATTACATTTAACTTGTCTGCACTCTTTCTTAGCTAGCTCCCAGTTCCTTTCATTTGCAAATACAGCAACTCTCCTGTGGAGCAATTATTATTGTTCAGGACTGACTAGCCCAGATGCCCTAGCTAAAAGAAAAAAAAAAAAGGCAAAAAACCCCCATAAACACAGACTACCCAATTACATGGTAATTACTAAATTCCCCAAGTACAGTCGCTACACAAATACTAATTAGTACACCAGTTACTACAGTCATATGCAATATAATTGAGTCACGTCAGCAGTTTGTCAACAGTGGTCAGGCTCCCTTTTCCTCTACCACTCCTCCCCGTTGACAACAAGGTCTAATCTATCACCCAACTTATGTCAGCTCTAACAGTAAAGTCAAACGATTACACAATAAACCAATTCACCACCAAAAAACACACCACCAAAAAAAAACCAACCAACCCACACCACCAAAAAAACCACAATCCTCCCTCTTTGATAAATCAGTTTTATGGCATAATGAAGAGTTAAATAAGCACCAGAGCAGGGACAAGGAAAGGGAGAAAAGAGCAAAACTGGATGGAGCACAGAAAATACGATACAGAGGGAAACAGAAAGAAAGCAAAAGAATTAAATGAATTAAAACTGTACTGTGGAACTTCAGGCAATGAGAATTAACTTATGCATTCTGCAACAGAAAACCTCTTGTAAAAGGACAGCACTATATATTTCACTGTCCTGGATTCAATTCTCACAGACCCATGTAGGATTCTAAAGGCTGGATGCCAGCTTATAAACTTAAGAATCAGATTAAAAATAGATATAAACTCAAAATACTACGATCTAGGTTACAACCTGGAAAAGGGAGAAGACACATCATCTTCAGAAATCTTGTCACGTTACGTTTTCTACCTGGTATATTATTTTCCTCAACACTGTCATATTCAAGCAATGTTAACATTGCTTCCACGAGCCCAGTCTTGGCGTGCTTTCTGATGATACTATACCACACAACAGCAATTTATACTGATCACAGATATTTTTAAGTTGTAAATACCTATAATAGTAGACTGCAATCTTACAGCAAGATTCCTTCTGTTAGGAGAGTATCACGCAATTGATTTCCAGACATCTCTAAGTTTTGATAATGTGTGTTTCTGAGACAATTTTAAGTAAGCTTGTGTCATTTTGTTAACATGAACAGAAAAATTCTAGTAATGCAAAAAACTAACCCTTTGAAACCAAACTTCTGTCTTTAAAAATAAGTATTCTTTATGCATTCCCCCCAGATACACTCACTTGCATGCTACTTATTTAGCAAGTCTCTGGTACAATTTGGTTTATGCAGAAGCTACAGTATATTTACAGTTCCAGGATTCACTTGATCGATACAACAACAGTTAAGACAGAAATTCAAATTTCATTCAGCACACAGAAACACACAGGAAGTGCAGAAAATTCTCCTTAGATGATAAAGATGGGTGATACTGTAGAGTTTTAGTCTGTTTTAAGGGACTAAGAAAAAAGTTAAAGTTAAATGACTTAATAGTGTTACAAACTAAACTCAAAAAGACAGGCTGAAGACTTCAGTTCTAACTTCTGTTCAGTGAACAAAGTCTTATTTTTACTGAAACTCCATTACCTATCATCAGCATGGAGGATTTAGCTCACAATTTACTGCTGCTGCTCCAGAGAACCGGCATACAAGAAAGGTTGTGATGATAGATACATCTAGACGTAGGAAAAATTAAACTTCCATTTACCTGACAGTGAAAATACTAGATACTGTAAGACAGCCCAAAGGGACTTCCAGTAACTGCTGTGGAAAAGATTACAGCATCAAAGATGTATGAAGGAAGTCCAGACACTAAAATTTAAACTAGTAGAGAGAAAATTTCATTTACTGCCTTTGTAAGACCTTTTTCAAATGCTCTCAAGGCCTTGCATGATTCCAGTTGGCAGGGAGATCTTCAGAGTTCTTCAGAGTTCACTTGAGAGTTTGAACTTTGGAGTTCATTGTCATGAAGTTTATTATCAGGAACATTTTCTTGAAAACTAAGCTAGATCTTTCTTTGATGTAGAACCTAACAGAGTGAAATGAATTTCAGTGTATTTAAACTAAAAACGTGAAAAGAACTCACTTTGATAAGGGCTATGCATGCCACAACTTACACTAGCAAAAGGCTTGCAAAGCACTCTCTTTTCAAACAGCTGCTTGCCTGTTCCTCAGCTCAGCCAAGAGAGCTGTTTATATAAATGGCTACTAACCCATTTCAATAAATCTGAGCAAATATTAAAGATTTGTTATTAAAACCGTGTAAAGTAGTCTCATTCATTTTCACCAAAATGGGCTAGCTAGTGCCACACTTAAGCATCCAACTAAACTCTACACCACGGAAAGGAGATTAACACAATGGCATCTACATTTAAAAAAAAAAAAAGTCAGATTGAGGAAATACAGTTGGGAATTGGCCAACCATTAAAATATCCATACGTGAGGCGGGGGAGGAAGGGAGTAAACCCCCAAACCCCAAAATATAAATGAATAACCAAAATACCACTTCAGTAGAAAATCATTTGTTCTGGTGGTATAAAGGGGATCAACACATAGGTGTAAGCTGGTAGGCTGAAGAATTCCTGTATCTCTCTAAACTCATTTTTTAAATTTGAACACCAATTTCAGACATTAATTACAAGTGTAAAAGAGATGCCAAATAATTTGAAAGCCATAACCACCAAGGTCATAAAACCTAAGGAAACATAGCTCTGATTCAAACTGAAAATATGCAGGATGCATACATGTTATTACAAAATTTTAGACAGTGCTTAAAGACAAAGGCCTCCAAAACAATGGTCTAACACTGCAAAGTAGACAACTATGATCAATTAGACCCCTCCCACATACAACACACTTCTTGCCTGAACCTTACTGTCATCCTAATCTCTCAACTAGGGTATGAGCTTTAATATCCTTTCCAAAAGCATTTATGTGATGCTGAGAGCTCTAGACATTCTTATTACCCACATCAGGATCTTTTGATCTCTTTTGAAACTTAATTATTTGCATCAATTTCTTGCAAGGAGATGCCCTGCCTAGCAGAATGCATTTGATGCGTTCTGAATTTGCCACCTTCTGATTTAACTGAAGGTCTCATTTCCTACTCAGGGAACACAGCAGGGTGAAAATCCCTGTATTTTTAATGTTTTCTTGATAAAACTAATCACTTTACAAAGTATTAAAGCAAAAGGATCCAAATCTTTTCCCATGACTTTTAATCCGATTCTTTCTCCTCAGCCACAAGAGTTTGATGCTTACTCAGTTTTAAAGGGAAAACAGATTCTCAAGTAACTTAATCCATTTTGATCCACTTCGACTTGCTACTTCATATTACATTAAGAATAATGTAACCACCTAAGCAGCACTTGGAATAGCACAACTGCCACCACCAAAAGATTACGTCACCAGTCACATCACTCTCAGAGTTGCTCATTCCACAGGGGACAATCGTTTGCACAAGGCTAGCATATAGCATAACACAATGCATACACAAGGCAGGCAGCGGGAGGGAGGCTGAAGTTTAGACCACCAACAACTATTACAATGGCTTACTTACACCACCTCCTGTACTTGCACATTTCATCTATGTGGCAGAGGGAGCAAATACAAGTATCCCAATGCAAAGCAATGAGAGCAATGTTCCTCTGATGTCACATATGAGGAGAAAAGGGGATGATGTTTGTTTGATCCTGGTAACATCACATCAGATAGCTGCAGTGTAGATACATGGTGTGTGGTTTCTGAAAACTCATCGACAATACTGCAATTCAGATTCTGTGGCTAAGCACTGCGTAAGTAATTCTGATATAAAGAGCAGAGGATAGCTATAAGCATCTAAATCTCCCATACTGTGATTGTTGATGTAATAGCCACAAAGAAAGATAAGAACTAAGCAAGAATCCCATGACTCATAAAGCAGGTTCCCCAAGACTCAGATTCAAGTCCCACCAATGAACAGTGTTCATAACAGGATTCATCCAGATTATCTCTGTCAGAGGCTCACGGACTGCAGATACAGAGGTCTGCTCAACTGGAAGACAATGGATGGAGCTGGACTTTAAATGACAGTCCCACATACTTCAACTACAAAAGGTTTCCCAGAATAGATGGGATTAAATACTGGAGAAAGGGCAACATCGAGAACGCCACACCAAGACTCAGACACCACACCAGACTCAGTCCACTGCCCATAACAATGGACACAGCCATACTATTAACTAAAGTCACACAGACTTGAGAAGAGCATGAATAGTTTACTCCAGAGAATTCATTGTCCAGTCATACTGTGAGGCAGAAGGTCTTGACAATGACACGAAACGTTAGACTGGCGGGGCAGGGGGGC